CAGCTTAAAACATTTCCTGAAAGCTGTATCCCGTTTCAGTTTTGGTTGAATATCTTGTTTTCCGCATATATTTAGAACTTAATATTTGTTGTACTCGTATTTGTTAGTGTTTTTTTGTTCAGTTGATTTTTTTTAAATAGTTTTATTTTTATCAGTGGTAAAATAAGCTTTTCGGTCATATATTGTAGAAATGGGGATCCGACAACATCCCAAAAAGGTGACAAATTAGGAAAGTACCAGATCAGATCTGAAAATTTACCATTTGTGTCCCATATGGTTTTTAACATGTTTGTGATTGTTATTTGCATTGCGTGTGTTGCTTGCTGTTGGCTTAATAAATTTTTGAAGTTCATGGGATTCCGCAGTTTTTGTTTGAAAAATCGAACATCGGGTAACTACCGTTGACCTTAATTTCTTGTAAAGACATACAGATAAAATAGCTGCCGACTCAAGTCCAGAAATCGAAGTCATGAGTATGAAAGTTTGAATTGATTTATTATTTGTTATATTGTAATAAAAAAGCAACAAGCAAGACAAGGGAGTACATACATTACATCAAAAATTGATTAAAATGAATGCCAGCTTATCGAAAAACAACTGTAAAGGTTTATAGTGACCTTTACAGTTGTTGTCGTAAAACCACTGTAAAACTTTACGTGGACTCCAACTTTATCCATTAATTGCAGAGACAAATTTACAGAAAATATTTTTTACCATCAGCAGTGCAATATTAATGGTAACTGTAGTTCATATATCAGAACTACTTTTACAGACCAGAACGACAATCACGAAAATCGGAAACATTCCAGAAACTGCTATCTTGTGATTATGTCAACCATATTATAAGGACTTGTGGTTTAATTTTGTCTCTTCGTTAACTACGAAAGTAAAACTTCCGACCAATGTTGATTATCGAGATTTCGTTGCTCAGTCTTGCATGTACATGTATGCACATATATATTGCAGCCAAGTATTAGAACCTTGTTATTTTGTTCCCACTATACAACATGCATTCATGGACTGAATTACAAATTAGAGTAACGAGTATTTAGTGTGATGTAGAATTATCCTGCACAGAAAATCATGTATTATCTTGTGTCATTTAGTTTTCGATTGAACAACCAAAACTTTCTCAATTTCCAAACGAATAACAGGCGGTTCTTTTCATCAAAAATATCTTTTTGAAGTTGTTTCTTATTAAAGTAACATATATTTATTGCAATATTAACCTTTCGTTTTTACCTCTTATAGCTGATGTGTTTCCCTCGGTTTTAGTATGCACCGCTGATTTGAGTTCTCTGTCGATTTACGACTTTTGAACACTGTTATACACCGTTCCCTTTATTAACTTCAAACACAACGTCATGACTCAAATATAATTCTGTTTTTAAAAAAATTTGTTTGGTAGTTTTGCATGAAATAACATATATGCCCTGTTATAAACGGATCCACGGATCATTTTCTTCCTGTTGAACGTCTTTAAATTTCCTTTTTAATATGACCTGCTTCAGATTCATCCTGGTCACGGCCCCAAAATGGGACACAAATCAGGTTTTGTTGTTGTTGTTGTTATACTTTGTTTATATACATCTATTGTTTACATGTGTGTAATAGTAGATTAATTATGTTTTATTCATATAGTTGATTTGTATGTAGAGAGCCTTATTGAAAATTAGTTTAATCCAAATGAGTTACTCTCTTTAAATAAAGATATTATTATTATTATTATTATTATTATAAGAAATAAGAATTTCTGCTTGCAATTATACTTGAATTGGAACTCTGCCTAGATAACGTCACAACAACGGTGACGTCGTGTACATAGAGAGCGGTAGCGGGAACACCTCATGTGCAATCCTTAACAGAAATGTTACCAGTAAATGTACATATGCATATCGGTCTAAATAAAATCTGTGGAAATCCTAAAGTCAATGTAGGGGTAGTACATAATTTAAGTGTCAGTTCAAACTCTTAGAAGTTCGGGGTATATAAACGTTGAAAATATGTCGCACAGCCCTATATTTTGACCTTTGAAAAAAATAGTAGTTCATATGAACTTTCTATTCTAGGATATATTTGTTTTCAAAACTTCATAGTAAAAGTAGTACATGTTTAGCCGTAAAAGGAGTTCCTATGGGACATTGCATTGTCGATTCTACAGAATTGCAACCTATAGAAATATTAAATTGAAGCTTTGGATTAAGTTAATTGTTAACACTAAAGGTACAATGACAAATGCAACAAAAGGCTCAAATAAGACAAATAAAAGCATTGTATGCCAAAAACAAGAAAATGAAACACTTATATGATAGACAGCAACAACCGAACTGATCAAATGTGTGGGGCCGTTGATTTTATTGCACTACAGTGTTCCTATTGTTCCTTTTTTTCCTCTTATAATTGATATGTTTCCCTTGGATTTGGTTTGCACCCTGATTTGCTTTTCTTAATCGATTCATGACTTTTGATCACCGGTATACTACATGTTGCCTTTTTTATCTACTGGCTCCTGAATGGGACATGCACAAGCATAAAATGTTACATGTTTGTTGGCGCGAAACGCTCTCTCTCATTCTGGAAAGTACAACATAAAAAGTCACTTGAAAAGGTCTTAACCATTAAGAAAATACAAACTGCATAAAAAAACAGTTTCTGAAAGCTTGTTCAAAGACAATAACAACTAATAAAAATCATGTGTCTTGTAATGGTAATGAAAATGTAATCAGTACACATCCAACGTCCATTGATTTATTGTAATTACGTAATTAACAGCCGGATAAGACATGACCGTATGAAAAAATATATGTATCAAGATATTGTAGAATTGTTTAATATGTACATATTTGTTTAACAATAACTGGTTTTAATTTACTGATAACGAAATTATTATTATATTTTATTCGAGAACAAAAAGAAAAATAGGAAAAATATGGCATACGTCATTGAGACACATTTAGCAACCCCTATAAAGAACAACAAACACAACAAGATACAAAACACAACGTCAAAAACAAAACATTGAGCAAAACTAACCACACCAAGACTCATAGCTCGACGACTTTGGTTAACCAGCCTAAACTACTACACAACATGAGATTATTTAGATTGTGGTGTATTCAGACAGTACACAGGACCTATATATTTGTGGAAAATCATAGTAATTGTTTAATAACAGACAGAGTTCAACAAATTGGCACTCATACCACATCTTCTTATACCTTGTTTTTCATTGTTACATGTTCAAATATGTTCATCTTCTGTACTAAATGATTATCATACAAAATCAAGGCGATCATTATATTCTTTAATTATTCAAAATGGACGATTTTTTATACTGCAATAGATTATTTATGCAAAACCTGTGATCAAGATATTAAGGACGAGTTCAACTCTATCTTGTGTATCCGGCATGGATAGATTTGCGGAAAACGATCATTCTACATGATTATTACTATCATAATATGTTAGTAGTGAAATGTACAGGTGGACGTTAAGTGTAAACAGGAATAAAACAACAAGATATGATCAAAATAATGTGTTTTAGTATGAGGCTTTCCTTTTTTTATAATAAAGGTCAACTTGTTTTATAATGTTCTGTCCAAGTTTCATAATGAGGGTCAATTTGTATTATAATGAGGGTCAACTTATTTTACAATAAGGTCGAGCTTGTTTTACAAGAAGAGTCAACTTGTTGTATAATGAGATTAAACTGGTCTTTTAATGAGGGTCAACTTATTTTATAAAAAGGTAAACTTATTTTACAATGAGGGTCAACTTATATTATAATTAGGGTAAGTTTGTGTTAAAATGAGGGTCAACTTATTATTTAGTTGGGATGAAAAAGTTTTATAATGAGGGTAATTTGTTTTATAATTAAGGTCAACTTGTTTAACAAAAAAAGTCGACTTATTTTACAATAGTGCGAACTTGTTTTAAAATTAGAATCAACATGATTTGATATAATAAAGAAAAGCTTTATTGGCCCTAGAAAAACGGTAGTGACAAACTAACATTTTCTAAACTAACCACTTTCTATTATAAAATTTTTGACAAAACATGTGTTATTTGTAATATTAGTACAATAACTTTATTATTCTGTTTCCGAAATTGAAGTCAAATGTCACATTGAGGTTACTGCTTTCTAAGGCATGAAAAACATTAAAAAAAAGTAAATCATATGGAAATCATAGAATATACTGAAATGTAGTATAAGACATGTTATATGCATATGTCATTGTTTTATCCGTTTGACGTGATTCGGTACTTGTACATCCCGTTAAATTGTGTTATTGTGCTAAGGTAAATGTGTGTATTCTTGTCTTTCATTTTTGCTTATGTGATTTTTTTTTATATGGCTTTCTGTTTTTCACTATTTACATTTTTTTTTAAATTTGTTTTTATTAGTGATTAAGATTATAACACACTGTTGACTGTTGTACCCTTATTTTTTACATTTTACCTATTAGGTCTGTTTGTGTTGTTCACACATCTTTGTCAATATCATGGAATTTTATGCGACTATCATTCTGATAGAGGTTTAGCTAGCTATAAATCCAGGATTAATTTACAATTTTCTTAATACGAAAATGTCTGTACCAAGTCAGGAATTTGACAGTTGTCCTCCATTCGTTTGATGCGTTTGAGCTTTTAATTTTGCCATTTGTTTAGGGACTTCCCGTTCAGAATTTTCCTTGGAGTTCTGTATTTTTGTTATTATACGTTTTACCTAAATTCATACGTCTATCAATATGAAGATTGTAGAGCTGAACCAAAGGTTTGTTAAATCGAGTCTAGTTTAGCGATAACGTTGACAGTGAAGGTACGAGTTATTTAATCTTTTGTATACGTTCAAACTTTTTTTGTTTATATTGTAGATTTACCAGAGTTAGTTATACAAGAGGTCAAACATTTCATTTTGAACACGTTAATCTTAAGTAGTGATAAGATAGAAATAGCTCGTCTGTGTATACAATGAATTAATTAAAATAAATGAAAACATATAAAACTTATTAAATTTATTCAGATATATGTTACATGAATTTAAAAGTTACCATTTAAGCAAAGTGTTAAAATAAAATCAAAAAGAAACAACATACACAAATGTTTTAAAACATTGAAACACACAATTAGAAAATGAGACTAAAGATAACCAAACAACACATTATTAAATCCACAGACAATAAAAACTATGATTAAAGAGGCATTAGCTGTCAAATTCATGTTCACCATTCCGACTCAAAATCAAATATTTTAAATTACATAACGTACTAAAGAAACAATTAGCAATGCATGGACTCGTTAAAATGTATCAGTTTCATAAGTATTTTAGAATAGACGCCAAATAGTAAACAATTTAGTTGATCTCTAAGGCATTTGTATTGTTGATGAACTGATGCGGACATAAATATAAAGGCAAGCACGTGAAATCGTATAATGCCATAGGTTAAAAGTATTGTAAATCATCAATATTTGAATGGGTGTATGTGTGCAGAATCAGTCAACGAAAGGAATCTTTGTGCGCAGATTTTGACAAAATGAAAGAAACTTGACTGCTGAAATCCAAGTTTCCTTTTCACAACTCCACTTTGATAAATGTTTTAAACAAAATAAATATTAGGTAGATAATGTCCCTTGAAATTTATAGTACCTTGCAGTTTATGAAAAATATTATTGATGATTGTTTTTTTCTATGAAACATTGCCTCGATATCCTTGCATTAAAAGTATACAAAGTAGATAGTTCTGACAATATACTTTTCTAAAACTTTTAACATATTTCTCTACAACCTAAAGCCTTTATGTTACATTAACACCTACTTTTCTCTATGTAGATACAATCATATTCCGTCAAAAAGTATGTTACTCTAATGACAAATAATTGTAATATCATTCACAACTGGTATGCCAAACTTTGTATGTCATGCTTACTATAACAACGCTTTATCAAAATGTTCAGTTCCATTAGTACACACAATATCTTATATGTCAAACTTCTCATGTTCAAAATGAATTCTTCACCGGTCATTATATCATGCTCATGATCACTCAATACCCTCAATGTTTCATGTTCTCTATGTTTTGACCTAACCGAGGAACGTAATACCTCACATCGTCTTTTTCTAAAATATATTCATTGTCACGCATCTGCTGATCTTGAAGACGCTTGTTCTTCTTTTTCTTTCTAAGCCATCGTCTTCTACGCTCTTCTTCGTCATCATATGTGCAAGTTATATCAGAATATGTGTTGTCACTTGCTAGTTGTCTTTCATCACTGTAAGAAGACGATGTTATGAGTTCTATGATATTATCAATTTGATATGAGACTGAGCAACTATTAATAAAAATATATTACATAAACAAAGCAACATAACATTGTGTAGTAAAAAAACAACTGTTTTAAAACAAATTAAATTAATGACTTAAGTATTAGAGAATGAAAATTCTACTTACGGTTGTTTGAAATCTTCAGGCTGAAGGACCTCAAACTTGTTAATGTCAAAGTCATAAGACGTGTCAGAGTATCGACTAGAAAATATAAAATTTAAAATTAATTAACAAACTAATATTTACTAAGAATCAGATGTCAATTATGATAATATGCCTACCGAAAGTCATGCTAAGAAAAGATACTAAGGTGAAGCTTAGAAAATATGCTTAAGTCGTTATACTAAAGAATAATATCTGAAGGTTAGACAAAGAAAGGGTGCTTACCTAACTTTTTGCTAAGAAAGGATGCATACTCAATGTCAAGCTGATAAAAGATGCTTACGATGCTAACATACAAAGTTCTGATTCATTGCCTGGTTTTTGCGCTACTTTTCGTCCTTTTTTATGCTCTTAATCTTTTTATAAGCTTTCGATGTTCCAATATATTGGCCTTGCACATCATTGAAGAGACATTGATTGTCGAAATGCGCATCTGGTACAGAAAGATTGGTACCGTTTTGTTATAACTAAGTTCAGGCTCAATACACACACCTGATTAAATGGGCATTAACTGTGCACCACTTATTGCGGACTTGTTTCTGTACAATGATGTCATGAGTTACAATTTATGACAAAAATCAGCAGAGACCCATCAAAACAACATCTGATTCAAAAATTTAATAACACTTTTAGATATTTAGATGATATATTGGCTCTCAATAATTACCACTTCAGTATGTATGCTAAAGAGATTTATTCGGCCGAATTGACTTTAAATAAAGCTGATACTAACAATGAACACTCCCCTTTCCTGGATCTTGATATGTATATCTATAATGTTTGCTAATATGCTTGGTCTATATGCCATTTTGTGCTTCTTTGTTACATACAGGTATTTGTTTTTTGTTTTTTTAGTGATTCAGATTATAACACAATGTTTACTACTGTACCCCTATTTTTGACATGTTTACCTATTATGTCTGTTTGTTTTGTTCACACATCGTTGTCAATATAATGGAATTTGATGCGACTGTCATACAAATGAGAGGTTTAGCTAGCTATTAAACCAGGTTCAATCCACCATTTTCTACATAAGATAATGCCTGTACCAAGTCAGGAATATGACAGTTTTTATCCATCCGTTTGATGTGATTTTGGTTTTGATTTTGCCATTTGCTAAGGGAATTTCCGTTTTGAGTTTTTTAGTGATTTTACTTTTTAACGAAAAGCTTAATATCAAAATTTATGATAAAAGAGATGATTTTTCATTTCCTTTTGTTAGTTATACATTTTTACATTTTGACGTTCCCTTGTCGCCATCTTATGATGTTTATATATCTCAACTTGCTCGATTCGCTCGTGAATGTAACAACGTATTTGATTTCAACGAAAGAAATCTATGTATTACTGAAAAATTATTACACCAGGGCTTTCGATATCACAAACTGGTAAAAACATTTACTAATTTTTATCATCGGTACAAGGAAACATTTCTAAATATAAATCAACATGCAGATATTTTATACGTTCAGGTATTTCACATCTAATATTTTATGGTTATATACTTTACAAAGCACAAAATGTCAGCATTCACCTCAAAAGCTAACCAAACCTTTAAAAAGACTTATTCGGAAAGGATATAGTTACGATACTGTTGTCAAGTCATTAAGGATTGCATAGTTTGGTATTAATATTGATTCACTCATTTTGTCTTCGCGTCGAAAATAAACACATTGATTCTAAAAACCCGTTGTTGGCATAATACGGGTTATGTTCTTCTTATATATTTTATGATGGTATGACACTAACAGGAACAATTTCACTTGACTTTCATATGATGAAGACATAATCTTTCAATCAGTTTAATTGAGGTCTGTAGCTGGCGTGTCAGCAACTGCTAGTAGTTTCATTTCCTTTGTTCATTTATGTATCATTGTCATTTTGCTTAGTTTCTTTTGTTACCTATTCTGACATCGGACTCGGACTTCTTTAAAACTGATTTTTACTGTGCGCATTCCTATGTGTTTCTTTTTTCTATATTGGCTAGAGGTATAGGGGGAGGGTTGAAATCTCACAAAACATGATGCACCCCGCCGTACTTTTGAGCCTGTCATAAGTCAGGAGCCTCTCGCCTTTGTTAGTCTTGTATGTATTTTAATTTAGTTCATTTATATGTTTTTGAGTTTAGTGTGACATCCATTTTCACTGAACTAGTACCCAATATTATTTAGGGGCAAGCTGAGGAACATCTCCGGGTACGGGATTTTCTAGCTGCGTTGAAGACCCATTGGTTGATTGCGGCTGTTGTGTGCTCTTTGGTCGGGTTGTTGTCTCTTTGACATATTCCCCATTTCCAATCTCAATTTTATGAAAAGATGTGAAGGTGATGGTCAGAAGGAATAATTGCTGAACGTCAGGCTAAGAAATGATGCATACCGAATTTCAGTCTAAGAAAGGATACATACTGAAGGTCAAGCTAAAATAAGAAGCTGAGGGCAGGATAAAAACAAGTATTACATATGGTGTAGCATTCTACTGTTTTCATTGGATATGACGATCACGTATTTCAAAGGTTATTTTACGTATCTGACGCCTTGTTTCTATGTTTACGTATATTGACGCTATGTTTCTATTGATATGCATATTGGTGGTCAATATAAAAAAAAAATTGCTAAATTTAGATTTATGACGTCACGACGTCACACATAACAACCACGGAGGAAGCGCCGCATCAGAAAAGGAAATTTGCAAGTTTATCAGGAAATTTCAAGAATTTTATGTTAAATGCAGACGATAAGAATACAAGAATGCTAATTCAACAAGCTATGAAGTTGTTAAAAAAACCAAACAAAAATGATATTTTCAATGACATGTTAAAATTCTTGCAAAATACAATTTAAAAATACACGGAAAGAACATTGAAGTCCATCTTCCTAATACATTATTTACATATGTAATATAAAAATTAATGACTTTCACTCGGTCAATACGTTATATATGACCCTTTAGTTCATATTGACATCGGTCAGTATAATCTGAACAGGTCCATATATAACGTATTGACCTCGTCTAAAGTCCATAGTTGATAAATGTCTATACCAGTCTTAGAAAAGATGCTTACTGAAGGTCGGGTTAAGAAAGGAGGCCCACTTATTTTCAAGAAGGAATACTTACTGACGAGAAGACCCAGAAAGGACGCTTACTAAAAGTCATTTAAGAATAGGATTCCTACTAAAGGTCCGGCTACGAAAGGAGTGATTAACGAAGTCAGGCTTAACACAGTGCTTACTGAAAATCAGACTGAGAAAAGATGTGAAAGGGAGATTACCAACAGATGCTAATATCAAGCTGAGAAAAGATGTTTATTATATCGGGCTACGTAGTATATCTCCAGAAGGACAGGCTTGGAAATGATGCTTACTGAAGTTCACTCCAAGAAAATGTGATTACTTAGGTTCAGGCTACGGGAAAATGCTAAGGTAAGAATAATAAAAGATGCTAAGATTAGGTTAACAAAAATGCTCAAGTCAGGCTAAGTATGATACTTACTAAATGTTAGGCTGAGAAGGATGCTTACTCAAAATCAGGTGGAGAAAATTTAATAAGATAAGACAGATGAAGGATGCTAATTACCGGTTACGTAGGACACTTGCTGAACGTCAGGGGCGAAAAAAAGATGGCCTACTGAATGTCAGACTGAGAAAACATGTGCATGTCGAGATAAGATAAGACGCTTAGGATATGACAAGAAAAGATACTTTCCGAAATGCATGCTAAGACAGGATGCATACTGAATGTCAGACTGGGAGAAGATGTTCATGTTGAGCTAAGAAAAGATGCTTAGGTAGGATAAGGACACATACTTACCAAAAAGCATGCTAAGAAAGGATGCACACTGAAGGTCAGGCTGATTAAAGAACTTAAGGTCAGGCTTCGAAAAGATGCGTAGGTCAGGCTTGCAAATATGCTTACTGAAGGTCAGTATAAAAAATTTTGCTCATAAAAGGTCAAGTTAAGAAAATTGAAAAACTTAAAGCTGCGACTATTACACTAACAGGAATGGAAACTGATCGATCTGTTGAGATTTCATTGCCCCGATAGTGGTTTTTGAATTTTTGTTTTGATTGACAGCTTATGGTGTCACGTAGGTGAAAAGTAAAATCACAAAAATACTGAACTCTGAGGAAAATTCAAAATGAAAAGTCCCTAATCGAATGGCAAAATCAAATGATAAAACACATCAAACGAATGGACAAGAATTAGCATTCGGTACATGAATAGATTTCGGCAAACAAGTCAGCATATATAGAATACTGTTAAAATTGGTGGATTTGAAAAAAAATAACTATTAAATTAATTAGTTTAAATGCAAAAAAATATAAATTGTTTACGAAAAATTATTAATAAGTAGTCAATATATTAGTGTTGAAAATAAACCAGATATAGTCGAAATGCCTGCGATTTACTTGACCGCTAAGAAAACAATGAGTCAAAGGTTAACAGATCATAATTAATCCTGATAAAATTAATAAGTGTGGAATAAAAGCAATGATGACAATTTCAATTCATAATTAATTCATTTAACAAAAGTTACCCGGGTCTCATAAAAAGTGACAATAAAAATAGGCAAATCCAAACTTTAACCTATAAATATGATTTTACAACAAACCGAACTGTTTTCAATCAATAGTTTTAAGAAATTTTATGAATCATATACTTTTTTCCACATCGTCCCCACGCTATTTTCATCCTGAAAGTTTCAATCTTTATATGTAATTTTTTACACTTAAGACGGGATTTGGTGATTAATAACAACTGTCAAAGATCGAGATATCTTTTATTATTATAGTAATCATGTGTATATTAAGGATTATCATTTGGAATAACTATAAAATAAAAAAACAAATTACCGAAATTATAAGATCAAGGCACGCTGTCACTGTCTAAACAATATGGCGTATCGATAAATAGCGCAGGTAAAGTCTCGTTCTAATGACCGTGATGTTGATATTATTACACTGATTGGTGTAACGGTTTCCAGTCCCGTTAGTATAATGGTCCCAGCTTAAAGTCAGTTATGTACTTATTCAGCCACTAAATGTTACTAACATACACTTGCATGCCCTTTACATTTGTAATTTAATGCCAACATAAGGGCGATCGAGTAAATCCCTTTTTATAATACCTTTCGTATGACAGGTATACTTATGAATTCGAAACATAGTTTCTATTTGAATGTATACTTTGCTTTGAACTCACAAAATAAAAAGAACAGCCTCAATATTTTGGTATTAAAATTTACAAAATTAAAGAAAAAAAATGGTTCGAAGTCAAAAAATGAAAGGTATCACTTATTTCAATGTTCCGTCTGAACGTCATCCTCAGTGTGTTCATGTTTATCAGTTTCTACATTGAATAAGGCGTACATCTATTTACAGTTCTTATATCTATTTACAGTTACGGAATATTTAAAAAAAAAAGCTATTTTCAAATAACAAAAAAAAATCAATTTAGGTCAAGTTACAGTAAATGGGCTATGTCACAGATTTTCTTAAAATTTGGCATACACCTTTGGCTCGATGAACTATCTGAAAATCGAAAAAAATTATGCCTTTATCTATTTTTCCCCTTAAATATTACTAATTGATTTTTGTTTCAAAACAGATGTCCATTTGTATAGAAAGCACATAGAAAGCACATAAAATCGGCGAAAAACGCTCCTTTTTACTCCATCGATTTTTTATAAAAACTATGTTGTTGATACAAAAATTTCGTTTTTAATGATGTACAATAATAATAGGGTCACCGATCTCGATTTTACGGTATACATCAAGCAAAGTGGTGTACTTCGTGAAAAAATAAACAAAAACGTTTTTTACTACTGAAAAGGTAACGGATTTGTTAACACACCAAAATCGTCAAAAGAGATACATGTATTTTTTTTTTCGATTATCAGATATAATTCAACGAGCCCAACTGATAAGCAAAATTTTTACCAAAATCTGTGACATATCCCATTTACTGTTCCTTGACCTTAAAACAAACACGAAAGATCAACATGACACACATTTCGCAAACATAAGGTGACTACAGAAAATACAGAGAACTCTCATTGAAACAAAAGAAGGGGTACGAATAATACACGGCCATAATTGTAAAGCATTCAAACAACAATATATAATTATAATAGTAAATAAAGACAGCATTCTAACATCAAAACAAAAAACCTGCATTTTATAAGGGAATACATTATCCTATATTTACACCTCACAAGCTTACTGATCGATGCTTAATGATAATCATGGAATTAAGGCCGTACTGCTGTTGGTAATCTGCATTCTCGTTCGTTCTGTCTCTAAATCGGTTAACTGGTTTATTTCATCTGTTTGTTTGCTTGAAATGCAATATTTTATTGTTCGACCATTTGTACTAGTTAGGGAACCTAACAAAATATTTTCTAAACTTTAGGCGATAGAGCTTAAACTATTGTTAATGTACATCGACACCTGTTTTTGTTTACTTCTCGTCGTTTTTGTCGTATCGACATATACTCTGAAACTACTTTTACCAGAGGCGGGACAAGAAACAAACATGTAATGAAAAACTTGAAATGTGTCACACCGAATCAATAGATTCCAACATCAAATATAATTACCTGTACTTATTACTATTCTTGCGATGTTTTGTTCGTCTGAAAAAAAAAGATTTTCAACTAGAAAAATGATACAATTCGATGGTAAACACAAAGATTTTTTTCTACTATTGTGGAAGAACATAATAACTAAATTCATGAATAGCGATCAAATTAGGCTGTATCCCTAACAAAGTGATATCAAATGGTAAATCATAAACCTATGTTTACCGTAATGTTGATACTACTTACATGTTTGTATATGGAGATACGATCTAAGAAAACCTTGGAATAACGTCACCATTTTACCCCTGTAATATTATCTTCTTAAAATAGTATATATATACGAAAACAATAATTGATTGTCATCATTAATTCTTACGAAGTAAGAATCTTGCATGTATATGTTCTTTATCGGTTCCCTTTTTAGTGTACCACACATTGCCTATGTCACAAAACGTATTCCTAGAGCGTTGCCAAAGACGGTTATTTTCAGGATGCAGTTTGAAAATAAGGTTTTTTTTAGAACAAATTTGCTAATGCACAAATTATGTCTGTGACGGGACATCGATTTGTTAACTCTATGGCTGTTTCCCATCATGTGTCTGACCAAGAAATGGAAGAACAATTCAATCTGCTGTTTAAACAATTCATTCGGGTTTGAGCGTATAGGTGAATGATTTACTCGTTAGCATTGATCTGGATTGTAATATTATGCTAATGGTACGGCTATTCTTTTTTCACATTCAGATGCACGAATAATTTCTAGAAAGCTATCACCTATGTTGCAGAAATGAAAAGATTGGCTTGTTGATAATACATTTTTTCTACATTTATGAAAGACTGAATGCAATTTCTTTGGAACAATGAAGGTATCATTTTGGACAATTTTTTTATCTGGAGAACAAGTTGTTGATAATATTATTAAGAAGGATAATCAGCGACTCAAAGTTTAATATAGATATAAAGAATGTTTTTTTCAACAATCTAGAAAAACATTGTGTACTGCATTATTACAATGTCATCTTGATTATGAATATGCTTGTTGGTACATACATTATGACACATCCTCTGATGTAAGTTGATATATATGTCAAGTATAAACTTTGAAATCATAACGGTTCTCAAGATATAGAGCGGACACAATCTTAACCATATGACACGGGGCTGTGAACTGAAACCACGGTTTTTGACTCTGACCTTATATCTAGGACGTTCTACATATATAATGACTCACCCTCTGGTGTTGGTTGATATACATGTCAAATATAAATTTTGAAATCATAACGGTTCTAAATACATAGAGCGGGCACGAACTTTACAATAGGTCATGGGGTTGTCAGCTGAAACCAAAAGTTGTTGACCTTGACTTTTGACCTAAGAAGTTGTACATACATCATGACACACCTTCTGGTGTTATTTAATAAATCTGTCAAGTATGAACTTTGAAATAATAACGGTTCTCAAGATATAGAGCGGACACGATCTGTTCTCAGGACAAGGGGTTGTCAACAGAAAACAGAGTTTGTGACCTTGACCTTTAACCTGGGAAGTTACACAAACATTATGACACACCCTCTGGTGTTAGTTAATGTACATGTCAAGTATAACGTTGGTCGGCTTGTTGTCTCTTTGACATATTTCCCATTTGCATTCTCAACTTTAATAGTATATTGCTAGGTTAAATATTTCATAATGCATAAGCCATTTTTCCTAATGTGTAAGGAAAATTAAGGTAAAATAGGGGAGGGGTCAAAATATTTCAAAACTCTGAAATAGAGTATACATTAAATATTAATCTATTGAACATGTGTAATTTAAATATAAAAAAAAACAATTGTTAAACTAGAATATAAGTAATTAGTCTTAGAATATGTTTATTTTAACAAAAAATCAGGAGCTATTGATGAATTAATTGATTAAATGAGCTGCTTGGATGCTTGGATAACTGTACTGAATATCAAGCAGAACTAGGTGTATTAAGCATTCCTAGTTGGGAGTCCTGATACATAAATTTTGATTTAAAACAAAAAGGAAGAGACCTTTACATATGCCTATGACAAATGGGACGATTTCAACTTCACAACTATCAATTTCCCATTTTTCAGCAGTACAATACCCTCTCTACCATCGTATGAAGTTTAAATATCTCAGCTGATAGTTTATGTCCGTGTATGTTTACACTTTACGGAATTCATATACAGGATTGTGCTCCTTAAGCTAAAACTGCTCGAACAGAGTCATGAGGAGGGAAAATTAAAAAGGACACTCCGTAAATTTTAGGAATACCATCACGAATTGGTTGATCTATACGATGTGTCTGTGCCTAAACTAACTATCGACATTTTAAACACTTCTTAGATTGTGGTTTACCATCTAAGTCGTCTGTCTGGACTTCTATTCCCGAATATGACTGTTTGGTCGAGTGTGAATTCGCATTGCCTTTAGACGTGTCTCGTCATTTATACATCCAGTATTTATGTATTTAATCATGATGTTTCTTTTGTAAGTCTGCTATGATATTGTATGAAACGCCACAGCTGTCTTATGTGGAACTCTGATATTACGTTATGTTGTTTTATTATCAATTGATTATATTTTGTCTTTACATAATATGGTTTTGACATTACGTAATGATGTTTTGATATAACTCAATATGGAATAGTCATTACTTAATGATATTTCGATATTACACGATATGGTTTCGTATTGACTTGATATAGTTTTGTCATTACTTAATATGGTTTTGTCATTACTCGATGTGGTTTCACCATTATTTAATGTGGTTGTGTCATTAGGCAATGTGGTTTTAACATTACTTGATGTGTATGTGACTTAACGTAATGTAGTTGTTTCATTACATGATGTGGTTTTGTTATTTCGTAATGATGATTTGCCAATTCTTTATATGGCTTTAACATTACGTAATGATGTTTCAAAATTTAACGATTTTACACTACATGATGTGTTTGTTTCAGTATTTGATGTGGCCCTGTCATTCTTTGATGTGGTTATCACATTACTTGTTGAGGTAAAACCACGTGACCATTTTGGAAAAAAAAATATGTTCTATTTTTAAACCGATTTCCATATGTCGTTTGTTTGTTGTGCTTTGGATGAGTATTGCTATCCATTGAGTTAAAGTTCAAATTAAAGTTCGATTTGTTGTTCAGAGTTATTTGGTATGAAAAAGGGGAACGGCAGAGAAAAATAAGAAAAAAAGTACTAAAAAATTAACAGTATTTCGGACATAAGAGGGATATCCCCAAACCACTTGGTCCGGCCGTTTTTTTCCTTAGTTCTCAAATGGAAGCAGTATATAATAAATTCGTAAAAGATTCCGCCGAACCCTGAGTCTCGCCTGATATTGCTGCTGTCAGTGTAAAAGGGTAATGTTGACTGTACATTTATCGGAACATTTATTGGTAAAAAAAAGATGCTTTATCTTGATCTTGAAGAATAACTCCTATACAAGTTTTATAACAATTCATGGAGGTTTACAAATTTATCATGTCAAAACAGTTTAATTCGGTAATATTTAATGCCCAAAAAAAACCTTATATAAAAATAAGAAAATGTGGTATGATTGCCGATGAGACAACTCTCAACCACATACCAAATGACGTAGAAGTTAACAACTATATATGACTGTATGGTCTTCAACAATGAGCAAAACCCATACCACATAGTAAGCTATAAAAGGTCCCGAAATGAAAAATGTAAAAACAATTCAAACGAGAAACCTAACGATCTAAATGATGAAGACGCCGACGCCACTACCGAATACGGAATATAGGTTTGTTGTGTCTCACTGCCGCTACAGGCTCGACACAAATCAAAAGACTTGTACTTTATTGTCAACAAATGAGACACTTTAAATCAACTCACACTAAAGATACAGTGAAATGGGGGATCGGACTAAGCGACAAAGCATCAATTCTGTAAAATAAGAATACTCCGATTTTTTTTTAGCGTGTATGATCATCTGAACATATACGAATATCAATCTTTTATTTTATAAATTGCATTCTCTGATATACCTCGCACTAATTGAAAAAACAAACTTTTTTGGAATATCTGTTTCACAGGTGACGACGGATATGTTCCAGTTGTCGAAACCACAATCCCGTCATCTTTTCCTCGAATGTAAACTACCAAATAAAACCAAATCACTGGGTTTATACTTTCACGAATAACACGACGGATGCCACACGTTGAGCAGAATCTGCTTACCCTTCCGGAGCACCCGAGATTTATATTACCCAGTCATACCGATCTATTGAGTTAAGCCAATTGAAACTGTTTTTTACATTTTTTTCTTATGTTGTGCTGTTACACTACAGTCCGAGGTTAGTTTAGGGTTTAGCGTTCACATACATGTTAAACTCCACCACGTGCACTTTCTTTAAGTGCCTGCCCCAAGTAAGGAGCTTGTAGTTCAACGGTTGTCGTTGTTTCATGTGTGTCATATTTGTTTTTCGTAGATTGTTTAGTTATAAATTAGACCGTTAGTTTTCTCGTTTGAATTGTTTCACATTTTTACGTGGCGGCCTTTTGTAGCCGACTATACGGTGTGTTGAAGGCGGTACGGTTGCCTATGATTGTTTACATTCACTGCATTTAAACTCTGGTGGATAGTTGTCTCATTGACAATCACACCACATCTAACTTTATTTCAATTTCTATGTTGTGTTTTGTATACTGTAACATTGTTTATCTTTTGTACGCATACCCCTGAGCCCTCTTTGCGGAAGCCCGAGCAAAAGCCATTGATCCGCGATAGAAAATTTAAATACGAACTCATATTAGATAACTCGAATTTCAACTCAAAATCTTAATCTAAATGAGACTCAAATTCGAGTCTTACTCGAACTCTACCGTTAAATGTGACTCAAAATCGAAGTTCAACTCGAAACTCAATGCTAACTAGAACTTTAATTCTAATAATGGCTTGAATTCTAACTCGAAATCGAAGACTTACTCAAAGTTTAACTCGAACAGTAACCCGAACTTTAATTTGAACTCTAACTCGATGGATGGCCACACTCATCCAAGGCACATAAAACATGGAAATCTATTTAAAAATAGAACTAGTTTTTCCGAATTGGTCACGTGGTTTTACCTCATCAAGTAATGTAATAACCACATCAAAGAATGACAGGACCACATCAAATACTGAAACAAACACATCATGTAGTGTAAAATCGTCAAATTTTGAAACATCATTACGTAATGTTAAAGCCATATAAAGAATTGGCAAATCATCATTACGAAATAACAAAACCACATCATGTAATGAAACAACTACATTACGTTAAGTCACATACACATCAAGTAATGTTAAAACCACATTGCCTAATGACACAACCACATTAAATAATGGTGAAACCACATCGAGTAATGACAAAACCATATTAAGTAATGACAAAACTATATCAAGTCAATACGAAACCATATCGTGTAATATCGAAATATCATTATGTAATGACTATTCCATATTGAGTTATATCAAACCTCATTACGTAATGTCAAAACCATATTATGTAAAGACAAAATATCATCAAGTAATACTAAAACAACATAACGTAATATCAGAATTCCACATAAGACAGCTGTGGCGTTCCATAATATTGTTTTATGTCTTATCGTGTGTGGTTTGAATTATATTTCTTCATTTTCGAAATATATGTAAAAGTTAAAATTAATTTATCAGCTAGTTCATTTATATGATTTTTAGTTTAAAGCAACTTCATACACATGATTTATTTGTTTTTACACAGGTTTCTTTTTGGATGAAAAAACGACATTGTTAGTAAAATCAAATCATTACACCATTACAAATACATCTCTATATATTTATTCTTGTAATGGTTTGAAAATACATAAAAAAAAACACCTTAACAAAGTCAATCCCAATTTCATATTCTTTTTTTAGAAATTTACTTGTGATAAAATAAACGTCACAAACAAAACGTCACTTGCTGTTGCATTGAAACATTAGTGTGACGCACAGTTAATTGTCATATTGTGGTTTACTATCGTAAATTAATGGGAAGTGTCCGTTGTTATTCTTGGGTTTACATGTTGTTATGTACTATTATAAAATATTTTTTCTATTTACTTCTCTGTTCTGAGTGTTCTTGTGTTTATTTGGACTGTATTCCTGTCACGTAATGTTGTCATTTTAGCGGTATTCTTAACATTGCCATATCAGCGACAGGTTGGTTAGCCAAAACACCAGGTTCAACTCAACAGTTATACTTAAAATGTTTTGTTCCAAGTCAGGGATATAACAGTTGTAATCAAATAGTCCGTTTCTATGTATGTTGGAGTCTGTTTTATCGCAGTTCAGTGTTTCTATTGTTCCGTTGTTTTTCTCTCATGTCTGATGTGTTTCCCTTGGTTTTAGTTTGTGAACCGAATTAGTTTTGCTTAATCGATTCATGACAACTTACATCGGTATACTACCGTTGCCATTTTTGGACCAAAAATAAAATATCTTTATCTGACACATAGTTTAAAGTATACAGCTCATGTGATAGGTTCACTGTTTGAAACATGTCTGACTCTGAATATCCATACTGATAATTCTAAAATTATATCGACGATATCCATCATCATTGCATTGCTTATTTTTCAGTCAAAAAATGTTTCACCCATAGGAGACCGTGATCATTTTTGCGTGTCCTTACAGTTATTTATGTTTTGCCATTACCCAATTGATTAAAATGATATTTGCCAAAGAATAATTCACACATATGTTATCATTGCATTATATGTTTAAAACATATTCATTTCATCAAATACCTGAAATTAATACATATATACCATAGTTGTCTTATAAACAGAATTGGTTTATGAATGCGCTTCAAGAAATATTCTAAATAAGTCCATGAACTTTATATGAACAGTTCAAGAAATACAAATGGACAAACAATGGGCATGATCTAAATCACTGAAGAACAGTCCTTTAACGTAATAGTCCGTGGACAAACTGGATTTGTTGTTGAAAAAGTGAACTACAAACGGACAAGTACGTTCATGAACTATTGTATGATGAATAATTCATGAATAGAAAAAAGAATTTTATGAACCAATGAGGTCATGAAAACTTTATGTTCGTTGAAAAATCATCAGTCACTGGTTCATGAACATTCTTGTCCATTTGTATTTTATGTCTTTTTCATCAATAGTTCATGAATCTTCTATAAATTATTCTTGAATTCTGTTTACGTGTGCGATTCCAGGTTAAATTATTGTTAATGTACGTTGACCTTTAAATGTTTTTTTTTTTAAATTGGATATCTGTCTCATCGAAATAGCCCCGACACTAGAATAAAAATATCAATGAAAAATAATATGTAATTTAAAAACTTAAAATATGGCCTGAATCACAAGTCTTCCGACAGCAAATATAACTTACCTGTTCTTTTTGTGTTTCTTGGAATCTGTTGTTCTAGTTGGTTGTTCTCTGCAAAAAAATAAAATGAAAAAACGGTAGAATTTATCTGGTAAACATATTGTTTTGGCAACCAGTGTTGAATTAAAACATTACTAAATTCAATAATAACGATTTGGTTTGGTTGTTTCTCTAGAATCGTGATTAGAAACGGGAAATGATTTTCTAGTTTTTACAGTAATGTTAATTATATATACACTAGAACAGACCCGCGAAATCGCGGTCATTTAGAGCGAGGTTGAAAGTACTATGTTAATTGTTGTAGGATGAATTTTTGTAAAAGATTTTATGACTGGAGAATTTCAGGAAGGGCATCAAAAGTCATAGGTACTTGGGGACAGGACTTTTTTTTTTTATTTTAGCCCTCCCCCTTTTTCGAAAGTCTGTTATTTTTTGTTTTCTGATAATTTCAATTATTTTCGCGTTTTTCTGTACACTATGAACATTATATATACTATAAAATAAAGTGTATTTGCTATTTACTATCAAATCCAAGTTTACTATCCACGGCGGTCACTGATATATTATATAGAGACTCTCTATTATATTATATGTATTATCATAGTATACAGAAAAACGCGAAAATAATTGTCCTGTCCCCACGTACTTATGAAAATTATGTGTAATTTTAAAACAGTCCTATACGGAAATATTGTTTATGACTTAAAAGTCCCTCCGATGACGGAAATAAATTCCGGACGCCTTTATTTTCGTTTTTCTCCCAAAATAACCAAAACTGAATAATCATAAGCGAGGATGACAAATGCGACTATGCATGGTACCTATAGGACACAAAGGCATGATGATTAATTCATTGTGGAAGGAGGAGAAGCGACAACCAGTATGAGGTCTTCTCATTTAATAGTATAGATTCTATGTAGATTTAGAAACAATCCAATAAAATATATCGATCTCGAGAATAAAAGTCACCAATTCAACCCTGTAACATTATCTTCTGATAATAGTATTTTTTGTTTTTTTTATTTATGAACCTATCTGGAAGTAATCCTCGATTGCATTGAGATACATAGATCACTATTATTTTTTCGTATGAAGGAGATTGTAATCTGATTATAAACTAGCCGGGTTTTAATAGCATTCCATCCCATTTCACCCGGGGATAAATAAAAAGTAATATTAAACTACGCGCTGCAATATAAAATAACATATAAACATTTTGATCAGCTGAAAAAAAATGTATAATGTATTTTTTTCTATTAAAGAATTGAGCAAACAGATATTATTTTTCAATGCACTGTTTTTACTTGCGTATGATGTTCTGAATATATAGGAACACATATGTGACACCCTCCTGGCTATACTTTATTTTGACATTAGTTGAAAAACAATTGACAACGCCATGTTATAAAGGACAGGACCAAAAGAAACACTACAGTTTACATAACACAACATCAAATACTAAAAATAGAGCAACACAAACTCTATTAAAAACCTGGAGTGGTCTTAGGTGCTTCGAAAGGATAAGCAAATCATGCTCCCCACTTGAAATCCGTCGTGATACTCATCTAAGAACAATTGCGTTAATAAGTCTAATTATGTAGGTCAAATTCGGCAAAAAGAGGACGGGATTATGGTAACGACAATTAGAAAATATTCCATAACGGTCAGCCAATTCGTAATGGCGCACGAAAATATTTCGCCTGGGAAATCATGATTTATCTATTAGTTCTATATTTACTTTGAACTAGGTTTTACTAACCGCGAGTTGTAACCCATTCGTTTGATGTGTTTGAACTTTAAATTTTGCCATTTGCTTAGGGACTTTCCTTTTTGAATTTTCCTCGGAGTTCAGTATTTTTGTGATTTTACTTCTTTTTATAACAACAATTTTGTCGTAAACTGCTTTGTTGTAGTATTTTATAATTTAATGATTTGCATGGATTTAATAAGTTTAGTCCTTTCCAACTAATATTTCACTTTGTTTCTATATTGAGCTGTTACCATCCGTCGAATGTTACAGGTGAATTAAATGCTAACTAGCAATTTAACCGGGAAATATTCCATTATTCAAGTTGAAAAATTGCAGCTATATTCTTTAAAAAATGCAGTTATTTTAACATATTTGTTTTACTTACGTATCCTTCTTGAATGTTGGTATTTCTAATTTTCGTAGTGAAATAACCGATTCATCCGGTTCTTCATAGTACACAGGTATTTCAACTCTTTTAGGTTCTGGTTGTGGACTAATTCTTTCTTTCTTACCACCACATAAAGAAGCACATTTATCTGTAATTATTAATTGATGAACGTGGCTTATCTTTCAATGGGCACTAGCCACGAGATATGAAAAAAAATATATGATTTAGTTTGGTTCAATCATTTATATAAGTGGAAAAATGAAATAATAATTCGCTTGGTTCAATTTTGTCAAAACAAGCAAAGAAATATATCTGATGAAGTAATCACTTGCAAGAGAATAATTCGACCTCATTGAATCCGTATTTATGTGACCTTTAATTTAAATAGCTAAAGATTGGTTACGCTTGTAACAATCGTTGTCAGTCATTTATAGGAAAAGAATGTCAACATTAAAAGTGAAACAAAGGTGAACCATTTCTTTGACTGATTCGATCCACAAAAAAACCCTCATTCTTATACAGGTAAATAAAATAATAAACTTTTTATTTAAAAGTGGGGCGAAAGATGCAAGAGAGACAGTCAAACTCATGGGTCGAAAATAAACTGACAACGCCATGGCTTAAAGAAAGAAAAAGACAAACCGAAAAATATAAGTACATAAAACACAACATATAAAACTAAAGACTAAGCAACACGAACCCAACCAACAACTGGGGTTGATCTTAGGTGCTGCGGAAGGGTAAGCAGACCCTGCTCCACATGTGGCACCCGTCGTTTTGCTCATGTTATTACAAATGAACTACAAACACGGTTGATAGTCTAATTCGGTAGGTCACATTCGTAAAAAGTTAACGGGATTGTAGTTACGACATAAGGAACATATCCGATATCATCTGTGAAACGGATATGCTATAATGGTCAACCAACTCGTGATGGCGTCCGTAAAATTTACGAAGGGATGATTTCAACCTCACCATTTGGAAATATTGGTTTAATAGCTTCCTTGTGATCAGCAACACTCTATCAAGGAAATCATGATAGGAAATAAAAGCCCCGGAATATCGTATCATTTAGGAGATATATACTCCATATACAGGTGCTGCTGGAATGTTGCTACATAGAAATGGAAAGTTCACAATTGGGAAGCTGAAATCATCTCTTTTGACGTAAAGTTTTTTTTTTCAACCGACCCTCATGTTAATAATTTAGAAACTTTAGAAGTTTATTGGAGCACTTAGAAGACCCAGCAATATACCGTTGTTTGTAAGGACACTTATGTAGTTTAGGTATCGAATAAACTCATCATAGATACCAGGATTAAATTTTGTATTGACGCCAGACAATACAGTGATGGAAGATCCAGTTCTTCATATTTAGTTGAAATTCCAAAGAAAATAGAACAGACCAATGATTATCCAGGATTTCCCCTTTGGTAAGTGTCGTAAGGGTATATGTTGAGTTTCAAAGTGAATTGTCAATACCAAATTCATTTATCAAGCAGTTGATGTAATGAGATTTACACACAAAAACGATGTTATTTGGGGCTTTATCTGAGGGACAACAACATATTTGTCATGAGGTAGGACAAGTGTTTGCAACATTTGGGTCTTTAAGGATTGACTTAGCATGTGTATTGATAGACCCATTCAATTTCTGATTTGTATCAACGACCTCACATCCTTAATCCATTCGGAAAGAGTATCTACTTCTTCTTTCTTGCATTTAGCCCATTGCCTGGCATAATCTTCGACTGAATTCATCAGTATTTTGAAGTTGTGTTTCCAGTTGATGGATTCAGGCTTACGATATTTCGGACCTTTGTATAACACATTTCGCAGGAAAGTGTTATTAACTATGTTGAGGTCACTGGTAATAACGTGGCCAGCCAGATTATATGTGAATTGGAAACTAGCACAGGTGCAATCAGGAGGTTAAGATTTAAAGTCGTCAATATTGAGATCCTGCAAACCGTGTTTGACATTGAAAATTTTAGTTGCAATTGGTTTGGTATAGGTATACGAAATGATTGGTACAGACTTATCTTTAAAATAAGGAGGTATTTTCGATTGAACTAATTTATGATGAAGGATACTGCCAAAGTTGACGCCATCGAGACTTTTGTTGGCAAAGGAAAGTTTAAGAAAAGATCTTTTCTCTTTTTCATCTTTTCCAATGCGAACTGGTTTAAAAAGTCTGTGACTTGCAATATGCGAAATGATAGCTGTAAGTTTGTATTGGTTTGAATAAGGCTCTTTAACATTGGTTTCCAAACATAAACAGAGAATGAAGTTTTGAAAGGGGTAATGTATAAAGTTTCGTGCGAATGCGAATGTGATGAATACCTAACGGCGTTTGTATAAATGGCAGTAGGTCATTAATAGAGACATCATGCAGAGTAGGTGATGTAAAATGACGATGACCATGACTGCGTCTACGTTGAGGAGCAGAGTTGAAAATATTCATTACATTCACCGAGCTACAGGAAGGACTAGATAAAATACCTATATCATCAATTCTATCATTACAACCATATGGTGTCGCAGTTCTCAATTGTCAAAGCCAGTAGTTCTTTTTTTGTCTACGAAGAGGCATTGCAAGATGAGGATTGTTAGTCATGTGGTATATTTTTTCGATAATGCGAACTGTCATAGAAACGATGGAATGATCAGAATGATTAAAATGCAGGTAACGAATGTCGCTTGCATTGTTGTTGATGTCTGATCTATGGCCGCACATACGTTTGTTTAGTTTTTCTTTCGTTTCCCCGACGTATACCAATCTGCAAACGTTACACTCTAATCCGTAGACGACATTAGTAGATTAACAAATCAGATCATCGTAACTTCTGGTAAAATAAGACGTTCTAGTTAAATTGCTAGTGAATTGAGCATCTGTTATTAAAATTCCACAAGTTTTGCCGCCGTTGGCTTCACATTTCGAAATAAGACAGTGTTGTTTTAATTTAACATATAACATGAAATCAAACAGACCTAGAAAAATCCAATTGCACCTATTTATATCTATGTAGATATAGGAAGATGGTGTATGAGTGCCAATCCGACAACTCTCCATCCAAGTCACAATTTATAAAAGTAAACCATTATAGGTCAAGGTACGGTCTTCAACACGGAGCCTAGGCTCACAACGAACAGCAAGCTATAAAGGGCCTCAAAAATTACTATTGTAAAATCATTCAAACGGGAATGTGTATGTTTATATCGGGTTATATGACAATCGGCAGTCTCCGGTGGTCATCTCGAAAGTTAATTAGATGGCGTCTAGACTAAAATATACACAAAATTCTGATATATATTTTCTTGTACATGTAGTGTTAACTCACTGTTTCAGACTTATTGTAATTTGAATATACATTTTAGTATTTTATAAATCAAATATACAAATTCGAGTCAAATCAGTTAACACCAATCTGATAAAAATTTGAAAGGGTCTTGGAATAATATGTAGATAAGTATTGTCTACTTTTTACGAATTATGACCATGATTTGTTTTCAGTCGTTTTGTGTTGTTGGGTTACTGTCTCATTTAAAGATATTTTGAGAAAGAGCATCAACATAACACTTTTAAGATTTAAGAATGATTGACCTATTTGTTATTCATTTTGATGAAAGAAAATGGATAAGTTTTATGATATAAATGTCTCTGAATCGTCAAACTTTGGTCGTCTGTTTCGTTGAATTATTGATTAACTGATCCTAATTAACGCACAAAGGTAATTTTTATATAGAATGCAATGTCGATACCATGGAGACATATGAAGATGATATAGATTTTTGCTGAGGAAGCTCCAAATATTACATCGATATACATAGCGAGCACACTTATATCACATCACAATTAAGGCAGTGTTCTCATTTTGAACAAGTGCGATTGTCAATACTGTAACAGTAAAGTAATCCGTACCTTGACAATAGCAGCACACAATGCCTCCGACCACTAACAGTACCACAAAGACACATGCTAGGATGATTGCCACTACTTCACCATCCTCCAGTGTATTTGTAGGATCGGGAACTATAAAGGAGATACATCACAGTAAACCTTTAACATTAAATATACTGGAGAATTGATTGTCTTGGTGGTATTGAATCTGAAAATTGGTACCCACGAAAATGTATGAATCTACTTGATATTTAAAATGGTTATTCAATACTAATGTTTGATTACAATCAATAACTATCTTTTTGTTTTATCAATATAGGATAAGTGAGTTTATATTGTTTTTATTGGTACTTACATTGATTTTTTTTATGAAAAATTAAAACATTACTATAGATATATTGGTATGTGTGTACAGTTATGAGGACTCATCATCCAACATTATTGCGATACTGTTTACTTTAATATTTAGGGGTCGCTTAGATATTTTCCACATCACAAACTTTCAATTTAACGGAAGTGACCAAACATGTTTGCTAAATGTCGAAAGTTGTTACGGCAGACCACACTTGCACTGTTATAAATGCATTGCCATGGTAATGTGCTACAAGGCGATATTTTTAGATGTGGCCCAAATATTTTGGTCGCAGCGTCCGCCAATCTAAGGTATGCTGTTTATACGGAGACGTACAAGGTCATGCGTTTCTTAGACTGTGTATGACTTATTTCGAAATCTGTACTGATTGGGACTTCAGTCTGGGAGCTCTTTCTTAGATTTAATAGCCCTGAACTAGATTTTAGTTACTGTGCTGACTCGTATTTCGATGATTTGTGTCTTTTGTTTTGATATCATTTTCAGGGTTGTCTATAACCGACTATACGGTATGAGTTTGTATCATTTTTGAAGGTTGTACAGTTGCCTTCATCCACTGTATTTGAATAAATTAAATTTAAAAAAATGTGACTGGCTCAGTAACATTAGTAGAAGACCCAAATTTTAATATCTTAATAAAAAATTTACAAAATATAAGCAGGGAAAATAAGGATAAAGATCTGTGTCATTATGCTTTCGATGAATTTATATGATCAATTATAAAACTGTATGCACTGCTCAAATAGACCCCTACTCTTAAAACAAGACATGCAAACACAGTCACACCCATTAACTGTGCGTACTGCTGTGTGTTTGTTGATTCTTCATTGGCTAGATATATAGGGGGATGACACTGCAACTGTCGTAGTCGACTGTTTTGTATAAAATGTCTTAAATTTAATTCTTAAGACATATCTCTAAGCTAAATGCAATATTTTGAGAATAAAAACGTATATGTAATGTATGTAAACTTTTGTAAGTATCTTTAACTTTCAAAAGCCATAGAAACAGATGTCAATAATAAATAAATATACCAGCTTTGTCATATTAACCTTCTCAAAAGAAGAGTATAATTTCAAATATAATAATGTGTAAAAAAACACATGGAGTTGGTTTCACGAAAAACTTACTACTAAGATTAATCTTAGGTATTCTGAAATGTAAAATAACAAAAATACCGAACTCCAAGGAAACTTCAAAACGAAAAGTCCCCTTTCAAATGGAAAAATCAAAAGCTCAAACACATCAAACTGTCTGATTGCTGACTTGGTACAGCAATTTTCGTATGTAGAAAATGGTGGATTATACATGATGTTATAGCTGAAAGGTAAAATCACAAAAATTCTGAACTCCGAGGAAAATTCAAAACGGAAATTCCCTAATCAAACTATTTAAACAGAATTGTGCATAACTTAGGATCAATCTTAGTCAAATTTACTGTGGTATCACGGTATCATCGCTCTCCTTTGGACATATAACATTTTTTACGCCTTGCCTTCATTTGTTTGGTTTTAGCTTTCATGATGAAGGTAAAAATAAAAAGCGCACCGGACTCACCTTTGTTTTTTAGTGTAAAGTTCATGAATTAGTATGTAAAATGATGTCTTGTTTATAGAACAATAAGCTTACCGGTCGTCGTTACTAAAGGAATATTGAAGTTAATTTCAGGGGATATTCCTATAACGTTTGTAGCTTTACAGGTATACGTTCTAGCTGCATTAGTGACATCCATAGCAACAAATATCACCTTGCTGGTTTCTTGCATGGTATCACCGTTATTAAACCATTGCCATGCAGTAGCCGATGGGTTGGCACGTGTGTCACAGCTAAGACGGGCAATATTAACGCCAGTTTGTGTAATACTTATCTGTGTAACATTACTCACTGGTCTATCTGCCAATTATAAAAAATATTAGGTTAATGAAAATGTTCGAATGATCGATGTGAAAAATGAAGGGTAGTGTTAATACACATAACTTGCTCAACATAGGCAAAAAAATACTGACTATTTCCTCATATATAGATAAACTCATCATACCAGGATTAAATTTTGTATTTACGCCAGACGCGCGTTTCGTCTACAAAAGACTCATCAGTGACGCCCTAATCCAAAAAGGTCTTATAAAGTACGAAGTTGAAGAGCATTAAGGACCAAAATTCCTTAAAGTGTATCCAAATACAGCTAAGGTTATCTATTCCTGAGTTAGAAAAGCCTTAGTTTTTCAAAAATTTTAAAGTTTTGTAACCAGTTAATTTATAAATATGACCAAATCAATGACAATTCATGTCATCAGAATTAAACTCTACCAGCAGTGTACTGATGTAACAATTTCGATGATTCCATTGTCTAAATGAATAAATACAACTCACGTTGAACATCAACATCTTCATTTGCCTGCTGTCTCCCGAAAGTATTGAAAGCCTCACACAGAATTAAACCATCGTGTTCAATCCAATTGGCAATAGAAATGGCATAGACAGCTCCTTCACGTACAATCTTGTCATTTTGATACCATCGGTAGTTTGGGGCAGGATCACCATCAGCCTCACAAGTAAGGGTGAAACCTTGACCTTCTCGTACTACAATACCTGCTGGTACTATTCTAATGATTGATGGTGCAGCTGTAAAAAAAATATGTATTAAAAATTTCTGTTTCCAAAGTAATTATAGAAACATCAAGTTTCTCTGAAAACACAAATTTGAAGAAATGGGATAATGATATTTTATTAAGATATATAACCGGTTTTTCTTTTCTAAGAAAAGGGCAGCTAAAAACCATTCATACATTGATACATTCTTCCACAGTGCAAATAGAACGTAACAAATTATGTATATCCGGAGTGATTTTCCGGATATATCATGATCAGGATCGCTCAAAACTAAAAATAAATTGAATGCTGGGAATGTATAATATTCTGATGAGTCATATAATCAATTGACATCAAAACAAAATAGCCAAAAGAATTAGGCCAACTTTGCCCAAGGAATTCCATACAGAACTTTTTCAACGGAAATTTATGGTATAAATCATATAGTCATATAGTCATAGACTACTGGACTGACGTACTCTCTAGTGATGAAAAGCCAAGCGACAGCAATATCCGCCAACTGTTAGAAAAAAAATTATGAATTGGGTGCGTTTTTCCTGAATAAATATAACCGGAAGAAAAGTGACGTTAAGAACTTTTACAATATTTCAAAAAGTGCTTTATATAAATATAAATTTAACAATACCTTTAGATATTTGGATGATATATTTGCTCTCAATAATGACGACTTCAGTATGTATAGTAAAGAAATTTATCCTGTTGAACTTAATCTTAATAAAGCTAATACTAACAATGACCACTGTCCTTTCCTCGATCTTGATATCTATATCATTAACGGGAAGCTTAATACAAAAATTTATGATAAAAGAGATGATTTTTCATTTCCTATCGTTAATTATCCACTTTTAGATGGTGACGTTCCCTTGTCACCATCTTATGGTGTTTATATATCTCAACTTGTACGATTCGCTCGCGTATGTAACAACGTATTAGATTTTAGCGAGAGAAATTTATGTATTACTGAAAAATTATTACACCAGGGTTTTCGATTTCATAAACTAGTCAAAACATTTACTAAATTTTATCATCGGTATAAGGACATCATTCGTAAATATAACTCAACATGCAAACATCTTAAACGTTCGGGTATTTCACATCCAATCTTTTATGGTAATATTCTTTACAAAGCACAAAAATGTCAGTATTCACCTCAAAAGCTAACAAAACCTTTAAACAGACTTATTAAGAAGGGATATAGTTACGATACTGTTGTCAGGTCATTAAAGATTGCATATTTTGGCTTTAATATTGATTCACTTATAGGGTCTTTGCATCGGAATTAAATATACTTATTCTAAAACCAGTTGTTGGCATGACGCGGGTTATGTTCTTTTCATATATTTTATGATGATATAATACTAAACCCCTAACAGGAGGGATTGTGCCTGATATTCATATGATGAAGACATAATCTTTCAATCAGTTTAATCGAGGTCTGGAGCTGGCATGTCAGTAATTGCTAGTAGTCTGTTGTTATTTATGTATTATTGTCATTTTGTTTATTTTCTTTTGTTTCCTGTTCTGACATCGGACTCGGACTTCTCTTAAACTGAGTTTTACTGTGCGTACTGTTGTATGTTTGTTTTTCTACATTGGCTAGAGGTATAGGGGGAGGGTTGAGATCTAAAAAAACATGTTTAACCCCGCCGCATTTTTGCGCCTGTTCCAAGTCAGGAGCCTCTGGCCTTTGTTAGTCTTGTATCATTTTTAATTTTAGTTTCTTGTGTATAATTTGGAGTTTAGTATGACGTCCATTATCACTGAACTAGTATACATATTTGTTTAGGGGCCAGCTGAAGGACGCCTCCGGGTGCGGGAGTTTCTCGCTGCATTGAAGACCAATTGGTTGCCTTCGGCTGTTGTCTGCTCTATGGTCGGGTTGTTTTCTCTTTGACACATTCCCCATTTCCATTCCCAATTTTATTAATGAAATTGAACATTAATTTTCTTGTTTTAAATGTTTCTTTACTCTTTAATATAATGTTTCTTTATTTCAAATACCTAAATACATTAAAAATTTAAATAATTTACAACTTCATCTGGTCACGTGGTATAATATATGTATATTACACTGAACTACAAAAGAAGCAATTACCGCTATTTTAATAATAATCGATTAGTATTGCATACGATTGGACAATAATGGATATATTTTATCAGAACCTTTTGTAATGTTTTAAGATCATAAACTTTAAATTATTTTAATAATTGTAAAATGTTGCTTGGACAGTATTCCTCTACCTTTCAAGCTGTAAACTTGTGCGAATAAATTTGTATATATTGAATACGGTCTTGCGTTGAAAGCAGCTTTAGCGTTTACTATAGACGAACATACTTTAATGTTACCCGTATACAATTATGGGGTTATATATACCTTAACCTGAACGATAAAACATTGAAACCAGGAATCCAATTCTTTAAAATTCAATTACCTTCCCCTTTCACTATGAAAAGACCGAACTATGCTTCCATAGAACGTTACGCACGCTGTTCCTACAACCCATAGGAATTAAAACAGAATATTTGAAATTTCCCCCGCAAAACAAAATAACAAACATTTTAGCAAACACTAACCACTATAAAAACTAAATTCAGTATATGTTTTTAATTATGTTCTTATAGCTCTTGGTCATATGCTTATATTATCAGTATATTTGAGGAGTAATACAACAAAGCTATACCACGTGTGTCAGTTCTTTGTACTGTTTTGGCCGTTTTTTGACAGATTTTCTTTATGAGTAGATATTTGTCTAAAAAAGCTAAGATCACAATAAATCTACGAAATGTACAAATATTTGCCTCGTTGTTCGTTAGTTCAATACAAGATCTTCTCTATACAGTCATTTTGTCCAAATTAATATTTAATATACCTGATATTTCAATAAATAATTTATTAATTATTAAATACACGAAGAGTAAAAAATGCCTAGATTCTTATTTTTTTTATCTACATATTCGCTTCGTAAAGGAATAAAATGCTATGGCACATTACAAAACGGTAGTCATTTCGTCAAAAAATCTGAAAACGTCGAAAAATCTGAAAAACGCCTATTTACGACGTGACATGTGCTAAATTGGTTTCAATAAAATGTTTCTGATAATACAAACAAATCGTGTGATGTAATTTGAAAAAACGATAATAATGGTTGTCAAAGAAAGAATGATGCACGTTGCTTGTCTTTGAACATATTTTTGACGCAGATTGCATTTTGTTATTTTTATAAACCATTTCTTAGTTTAAAGGGATTCATTTACAAGAATGGTGCAATGATAAAGATAATATCTTGTTACATATACGTTATCTTTTTTCAGTTTTTACATCTGGAGCAGATAAGGTTGAATACTTCAGGGAGATGAAGCGACTTTAATTTTGTCCTTTTTAAATGATTCAAAGTGTTCAACAGTTCAACAAAAGAGAATCATCATATGTAAAGAGTGTTGAAGTGCTGTGAAAATGTTAGAAAATCTAAAAGCAGAATATATTTGTCCAAAAAAACTCGGATTCAAAGTCATACGAATGTAAGAATATATGCTATCAATATAATTTTCTTTATCTATAAACGAATATCAACCATATACAGTACTCTTAAAAACATCATTTTGATATTTGTATAATACATATACAAATAAGACGATATGTTATGAGTGCCAACAAGACAATTCCCCATCAAAGTCATAAAGTATTTAAGGTTAACAGTTATAGGTCAAAGTACGGCTTTCAACTCGCAGCCTTGATATTGCCTATTTTATATCGAAATGCTCATTACATATATATAAACTTAATTACTTACATGTGTGTTCGCCCTTATATCCGGTTATGTATTTCAATCATAGTATTCTCACTCTATTACCGGTTATCGGTAAGACAGATGCAGTGCTTAATATAGATTAGAATATGTTGTTTACGATGGTCAAATACACTGTTTTGCAATATGATTTGAAAAAGCAGATACAAAATCTGTCGTTTGCAACTGTAATAAAAAAAGCTTTAAATGGCAATCGGTAACACAGATTTTGTTTATGTCGTTGTGAACGCCGGTAATATGGTGTGGTATTGTATAGACGAATATGTCTTCCTTATTTATTAGTTGGTTTTAAATGACGGTCATTTTGTAAGGAACAGAGAGGTTTGACAACATAAGTCTTAGCGTGGACATACACATAAGGAAATACAAGTACTGACGCTTTTTTCTGAAGACGTTCAACTGAAAATCTACGAATACTAAATATCTCTTGACAATTCGAGACCCACTGCAAATAAGAGGAATATCAAATGTGAAAGATTAGTTCCTTAATTATACACCAGTCACATAAAGTACATGCTTAATACAAATTCAGACAGATGTCGATATCAGTTTCAAAGATAAATACCTGGATTAAAAAAAAATTAAAGAGATTATTTGAACTGTTAAAGCTATATTGTGTTGTACCTGTACGTCTGTGTGACCGATCACGAGAAACCTGTCGCAGTATCATATAGAGGCTTAATATTTATCTAAAATTTGCATGGATTTTCGAGAAAAAAAACCACACCAACATCTGAACATTTTCCAATAACCACTCATCTCACTGACCTGACAAATCATACTTTGTGTCCAAAAACCGACGGCTAATACAAACATCATTTAAAGTGAGTGGAGTGGAAGTGCGAGGACTGCGACGTGAACAAGTTGCATTTATCGGAGGAAGAACTCTCCCTGACTACAAAGGCACCAAATGTACTTTCTTGAATTGATATCAAAAATGTCAGCACACGTTGTTTGTGCAAATTGGCAAACAAAACAATTGAAATTACGAGCAACTTAATAAAAGAAAATGAAGCTATTTGCATTCCTAATTTTTCTGAAACCTATTCGAGTAAGGATAAAATTGAAATCCAATTCAGCTTTTTGCAAAAAACTGAATGTTCGATACATGTATTCGTGATTTATAAGCATCCAATTGAAAATGTTGACGGTCCGTCCGATACTAAAGTTAGTGATGTATTATTTGAGGAACAGTTCTTTGTTACAAGTCCTGAAAAGGTTCATGATCCTCATTTTATTCAGGAGGCGCAATGGCAAATACCGGATCACCTACAGACTATTAACTATGATGTGAAAATCATGCACAAGTTTATTGACGGTTGCGCATCGCAGTATAAATAAAAGCACTGTTTCGGGGATTTTAGGTATTCAAAACAAGATTTTGGGTTCAACATAGTCAGAAACTGTTTCGAGTACAAGGATGCCGCTGGAGGTTTGATAAAACAAATCAAGTTGAATTTGCTGTTGTTAGAGGCAAATGTATACTTCAGAATGCCAATGATATGTACAGCTATTGCAAAGATAATTTAGAGTCACCAAGACAATCCTCTATATTTAAAAGGCAAATGTTTCGTTATGTTGCGGAAGTATATTGAATTACGGAAGTATATCGAAATAGATATAAATTTAAAGTCATCCTTTTAATAAGGTTAGTAAGATGCATTCACCAAAATGATAGTACAAGTCTTCGAAATGTTTAAGTTAGCGACTTGTTCTGCTACTTATGTTATAACTGTCGAGATGAGACTAATACCTGCACTAGCGAAGTCGGACCTTTTCTTCAATATAAACTTGGGCATTAACGGAGATGACTGAAAGACTAATCACAAACAGTGATGAAAACAGGTTCATTGATCTAATGCAATCTGGGATTATATAGCCGTTTTTACGGACGCTCCAGGAAACGATAATTACATTTTGAAATGTTCATTAGACGTTAGAAAACTTAAGCAAGAAACATTAGATAACTGGGGAAATAATTTATAATCTGGGGTTCAATTAATTGAAGGGTTGCATTTAGACAAATTATATGTCCAGAAAAATACGATTCTATTCAAATTAATCAAGTGTAAAAATGTTTTGATTTACTATTACATAAAATTGAAAATGGAAATGGGGAATGTGTCAAAGAGACAACAACCCGACCATAGAGCAGACAACAGCCGAAGGCCACCGATGGGATTTTCAAAGCAGCGAGAAACTCCCGCACCCGGATGCGTCCTTCAGCTGGCCCCTAAACAAATACGTATACTAGTTCAGTGATAATGGACGTCAAACTAAACTCCAAATATAGTTTCAGATATTTTTGTATTTGGGTTGAATCAATATATGAAAAATGTACAATGACAGATGGTATGCACCATGCAATTTTAGTAGCATGTGATTAAAGTTTTGTACATCGGTAAAAAAACATTACAATCATAAAAGAGAAAGAATCAGCCAGCATATAAAAAAACAAATAAAAATTTCAAATTTAATTAATCGACGTCGCATTTTAAGTGAAACGTCGTGTTGTAGGAACATCGCGCGCAACGTATATACGAAGATTCGTAATGCTTTGATAAAGTGTTTGTATCAACAAACACTCTACATGACGCATTTGATCAAAATCAACATTTTATTTAATTATTTATCCAATATCAATTACTTGATGGCTCCAAATCTGAATGAGAAATATATCATACTACTAGTATTACGAATGATGACATACAATCATTCAGAATATACCTAGAAAAATGATTTTCTAATGACGCTTGTCACTTACCTGATGTATTAACCAAAAGAGTGACATATGGTGAATCTCCTTGTCCCACGGAGTTCACTACTGAACATTTGTATGAACCCTCATCAGATGCAGTTAGATTAGTGATTGTAAGGTAAAGATTACCCCCTACGTATTTGTTACCATCAACAGTAATGCCTTGATTTTCTTTACTCCATGTAATATCGGTCGCTCCAGGGTTAGAAACGTAAGAGCAATTTATTGTAATTGCCTGCCCAATAGCGCCTTGGGACGGCATTGCGATAGCTACATCTGGCACATCTGTTAAAAAGAAAACTTCAATAACAGCGTAGCAGTCTTTTTGGAGGTTTTTTTTTAAATTTCTATTTCTTAACATTTTACTGGTTTAGGAAACCTCGGCCGTATTGGGCACAACTTTTTGGAAGTTTTGGTCCTCGATGCTCTTCAACTTTGTACTTGTTTTGGCTTTTGAATTTTGTTTTATCTGAGCGTCACTGGTTAGTCTTGTGTAGACGAAACGCGCGTATGGCGTATTCAATTATAAACCTGATACCTTTTGTAGGCTATTATTCGTGTGTTTCTCTGTCCTATATGTTCTTCCATTTATTTGTCTTGTAATCCTGTCATGTAATGTTGTCATTTTAATGGTTTATTTAACATTGCCATAAAAGCGGGAGGTTTGGCTAGCCACATAACCAGGTTCAACCCACCATTTTTTTCTCAAAATGTCCTGTAACAAGTCAGGAAAATGGCCATTGTTGTATTGTAGTTCGTTTCTGTGTATGTTACATTTTAGTGTTGTGTTTCTATTGTGTCGTAGTGTTTCTCTTATATTTGATGTGTTTCCCTCAGTTTTGGTTTGTAGCCCGGATTTGTTTTTTTCTCAATCGATTTATGAAGTTTGAACAGTTGTTGTCCATTCGTTTGATGTGTTTTGTCATTTGATTTTGCCATGTGATTAGGGACTTTCCGATTGAATTTTCCTCGGAGTTCAGTATTTTTGTGATTTTACTTTATACTACTGTTGCCTTTATTTATAATGCCATACACCTATTTGTGTTTAATTATGGTTCTATTTTAGTTCTACTGAAGTTTGAAAGCATATGTCGTGTGGCCTATTGTTTCAAATGTATAACGAAAACGAAAAAGAAAAACAAAAATTCCTTATTTTAGACGCAAACTATCGAGTGAAGAATTTGAAGCCATCAGACACAAATAAAACATATTTTGTTTAAAAATTATTGTGGAACATTACAAAATAAGGTGTTCATTTGTTGGTTTTCATTAGTGACAACTGTCATCAAATCTTTAATAAAAAAATTGCTTTCGGAAATAACATGATTCATCTATGTCTACAGACTATCTCGATTGAAGGAAATTGCAATACAAGGATTTTAATTGTTGTACATGTGTGACTAGAAGTGACGATTCTTTTTTGCTAATTGAAAAATTGAAAAGTTACAAAATGTGTTAATTAAGCTATAAGCAGGTCACTTAAAGAAACAATTACATGATAAATGCTACACAAGTACTTTGAATCTATGAATTTATTCTTGTGAATACAAAAGCAATCCCAATACGAAATTTTATATTGAGAATTGTTAGGAGATGAAATAAACACTTCGTCGTCGTATATATTCTTCTAATGAGAATTCAGAGATTCAAAGTTGTACAGTGTAGAGTTTTTTTTAATGATGAAATAGGTAAAATCATGTATGACGTTTTAAATAGAGTTCATAGTGCGATTCTTGTAATTCGATGTTTTCTCTGCGATTATATGGAATTGAGAATGAAAATGTGGAATCTGTCAAAGAGACAACAGCCCGACCAAAGAGAAAAAATAGCCGAAGTCCACCAATGATTATTCAACACATCGAAAAAATCTCGAATCCGGCTGCGGGCTTCAGCTGGCCCTTAAACAAAAATATGTACTAGATCAGTGAAAATTGACGTATCCATGTAGTCAAACCTGCATTGGGATATGTTCTTGTCTTGATTTGGGAAACAGTTATCATATTTCGTTGGACACTTGAATTTATTGGAAATCTACTTCAGTGTGCAAAATAATTAATTAAAATGTGATTTATCAAAAGAAATGCTAGTTATCTGAGATTTGTGATAGCATAATAGTTAAGCTGAAAAGATTGATTTATCTGGGTTTTTTTTATTTTTTATTTTTTGGTTTTTTGTGTTAAATTTTGACTGTTTCGACTTGTTTGCAACTGATATCTTTTGTAAACGAATGCACATCTGACCAACCAACATGCAAGAAAAGTACATTATATAAGTTTTCACAATACCAAGGTAATGACATATTAATGATGTGTTCATGTTCTGTTAATTTATCGTTCATGACATAATGAATACATCTGGACTAAAGTTGTTTCTCTAAGCACAATTTGTCCGTATTCTGCACATTTGGGAATAGATTTTTGTTATGCTTTTCAACATCGTATTTCGTACCTTAAAATATTTCGAGTGCAACACTGGAGTCAAGCTTTCGTGGCAAAAAGTATTGTCTGACGTAGCAAATAATAAGTTGAATGTGACCTACCGAATAAGACTATTTACCGGATTTGTTATAACACGACGGGTGCCACATGTGGAGCAGAATCTGCTTACCCTTCCGGAGCACCTAAGATCACCCCTAGTTTTTGGTGGGGTTCGTGTTGCTTATTCTTTAGTTTTTTATGTTGTGTCATGTGTACTATTGTTTGTCTGTTTGTCTTTTTCATTTTTAGATATGGCGTTGTCAGTTTATTTTCGATTGATGAACTTGACTGTCAATCCGGTATCATTCGTCCCTCTTTGATATCCTTGAAGATGTCTTACACCCACAAGGTCGAACACATCGCTAGTAAAGGATTCGTTACCGATCGATTGTATCAGTAGTTAGTAATGTTCATTTGATATGAAATACAAAAGATGACTTTATTTCTTTCATCCTCAAGGGATAGACGTATTTTTCTGATCGGTTCAATTTGTGTTTTGTTTTATTAATTAGTGCTCTTCAATATTATATCTAATTTGCATTCCAGCTGTTTTGATTTGATTGATTTTTAGTGGAAAAGCGCGTATTTGTCATACCAACTCATTTTACATGGTGTCTAATAGGATTTTTTAAATTTGTTTTACTTATGAGGAGTTTCTGTGATTAATTAATGATACAACTATATTTACGTTTAACGTCCACGGAAACAGTTGCGTTTATATTTCCAAAGGCGTTCGCAGCTCTACATTGGTATGTTCCAGCATCCGTCCGTTTTACGGATATTATTTGAAGAATAGAACCATTGGAAAACTGAGTAGTGGAATTTCCCTTAAACCAGGTGAATGTTATTGTTAAACTGCCATCGGCTGTACATGTAGCTGTTATAGTCTGGCCTTCATTGACAGATATTGCACTTGGTCTGATAGCAATGGATGTAGGTGAATCTAAAAATTAGAAAATAAAATTAAACTATATATACCAAGATGTAATGCATTATATACTATTTATATTGGAAATATCTGTATAATTCAAAGATTTGTTAGTTAAGGTTATCTACTTCTCAAAAAAGTTGTTTTCTCTAAATACAGAAAAGAACTATTGCAACGAGTGGGTTTTTTTAATACTGAAAAACACTAGTGCAATCATTTCTTTCAAAATATAACAATAACATATTACTCCAGTAACAGTCAGATAGACATTGTTACTAGTTCCGGTTTCCTCGCTATTTGAAGCTTGACAAACATAATGTCATTGATCGCCTTCTTTTACAGTGTTAATAGTGAGAGACGGGTTAGATGTCATTCATCCACAGTATTTGTTACTACCTAAATCCAAAGTTGTAGTCACACTATCAAAATATCTCTGCCAGACTATCTGACTAGCTGCGGTTGATGATATCACGGTACATCTAATTGCCACTGGATTTCCCACTTGGAAAGAGAAGACAATTATTATCGTAGCTATATTTGGGATATTATAAGTTATATGATTCACTAATAACCCCCTACGGAATCATAGAGGGTTAGTAAGATCCATAGGGGGGAGGCCGAAGGTCGAATCTTCTTTGGATTTTATTCACCCTATATGGTCCGTAGTGGTCAGTAGGGAACCGTATAACGAATTTATCGCAGGCGGAACTTTTTCTGATGTGTTTTGTAGAGAAATAACCCCCTTCAGATCCATAGAGGGTCACTACGTGACGGCGGTAAACCAATCACAACGTGATAATTTACCCGCGATTTGTAAGAACATGTCACATATTTGTAGTATCGACTGACCTTGTCATTTTTATTGAAGTTGCTTTCAGATCAAAAGATCAATAAAATTCACTATCTCAAAACACATATGCAATTGGAATCCGGTTCATCAGCGCCATATTAATATGATTTATGTATAGACGTGTTCTGATTAAATCGGTATATAAAAATGGAAACCATATGTCTCTAGATGTTTCTTTAAGGAAAACTTACTATCATATAGTGTAGTGAAAAGAAAACATTCAAGAGAAGATGCAGCCATTACGATGCAGAAGTCAAATTGCTCATTTAATCGTGCACTTTTTCTTGACTTTTGTTATCTCAAATAATTATTTGATACTTAAGCATCTTTGTATACTTACTTCCGACAACACCAAAGAACGCCTTTGAGCTTTGACCTGTACCAACCACATTAGTTGCATGACATGTATAATTGCCTTCATCAGATAACACTACATTATTGATAGTCAGTGACGGTGACTGTGTAGTTGATCCAGAAAATTTAGTAGAAGAAGCAGGGTTTAGCGTTTCTGAAATGTTATTGATGCTTTGTCGTGTCCAGTAAACAGCGGTGTGAGCAGGGTTTGCCAACACTTCACAAACTAGTGTTATGGTATTTCCAATCTTTGTCGAGTAAGTTGATTGACGTACTGTTACTACAGGGAGGTCTAAAATAAAATAGAAGAGGATGTCACAGGCTACAGATTATCGAAGTAGATGTAAAATTGATTTATTTACATTAAACAATAACACAAATAGGATAAAGCAACTACATTCTATAAGGAAGTAACATTTTTGAATGAGTTCAAGTCAAATATCAGTATAAAATGATATAATTTATATCATATTCATATGAATGTAAAGCAAAATAAGTATGTTGGCTTGAAATGTTTCTTATCTGAGTGTCGGGCATTTTATAGCTGATTATACGGTTTTGGTATTGTGTATCATTTACGGTCGTAACGTGACACAATGTTGATTTCATTCACTTTGTTTTGACTCAGATAAAGATGTGCCATTGCCAATCTCCCTATTGGTTAATATAATGACTGGTTATAGGCAAGCATATTTTAAAACGCAATATGTTTTCATCGTAGTATGACATAACTGATACTATATCTTTTGAAAACTCATGAGCTATATTTTTTGTTTTGATATATTCTTTTTTAGTTTTAAAACTAATGATTACATTGCTTACCTGAACCAAAATGATGATTTCTTATTTAAATATATACTCACTTCCAATAACTGTTAAAGTTCCTTGTCTACTCTGACCAGTTCCAACAGAATTAGCTGCTAGACATGTATAATTTCCAGCATCGTTACTATTGAGATTAGTTACGGTTATGGATGGTATACTGACAGATGATCCAGTATATCTAGAGTTAGACATCTCTACAGTAGAAGTTGTACTTCCCGAAACTTTATGCCAGTAAACAGAGGTAACATTAGGATAAGCAGAAACAGTACAACCAAGTATAATTGTTTCACCATAATTACCAGTAAAAAATGTCCGTGTAAGACTTACACTAGGAACATCTAAAAAATATAAGTTACATTTAGAAAAAACGATTCTTTGTTGTGTGTTTTTATTATTATTCAACACCTCACAAACAGGACATTTTAAGAAAAAAATGGTTTGTTAGACATGATTTGATCTCTACTAGAATTTCCTGATTTATTACAATGTAAAAACAATAACGCTAAAATGACACTACGTAACAGAAACACAGCACATACACACACAAGAAAATTCATCGAAGAATAATGTACAAACAAATAATAGTATAGTCGACACAAAATGCAAACCGCAGATCAAAAACAAACATATTCCATCAAATAAAAATCCCATAGGATATCAAACTCAATGACGCGCTTACGTAACGTACATGCAATCTCAAACTTCATACAATTATTTTTACAATACTCGTCCAAACAATTTTCACGACAATCATGTTAAGGCAATTTTATTATCATTTGGACTACAAACGATAAGACATAATAGATTATCAAACAGAAACCCCAAATATAAATACATGAACGTTGGATGTACAAAATACCGCGACACGTCCCATAGAGATGCAAATTCACACTCATTGTAACAGCCATTTTCGTGAATATGACACGTTCGGTATTTAGCAGACAGACAACGTAGATGTAAAACTACAATCTAAGAAGTAATAAAAATTTCATTAGTTAGTAAGGAACAGACACATCGTAAAGATCATCCAATTCGTGGTGGTGTCCATCAATTTTACGGAGTGTCACACACTGAAAATATAGCATTGTGTGATTATTTTTTAACATTGGTTTCCATTGGTTAAAGATGACATAGAAAATCCTAATTAAAAAAATCAAGAACATTTGATCATCCCTACACAGATAAAATAGCTACGGGCAAAAAACGTACGTATTAAACGGATATTTTACGGACGTTTAGCACCATGGACGTAAACCGTCCGTTGCTTCCCATCCGTATTACTTCCGTTTACACCTAAATTATGTCCGTCATACATATTATCAAATAAACGTCTTTTTCACAGATTTTAAAATGGTAGTGACATAAAAGAGGGACGAAAGATACCAGAGGGAGTGTCAAACTCATAGATAGATAATAAACTGACAACGCCATGGCTAAAAATAAAAAGACAAACAGACAAATAATAGTACAGAAGACACAACATAGGAAACTAAAGACTAAGCAACACGAACCCCACCAAAAACTTGGGGTGATCTCAGGTGCTCCGGAAGGGTAAGCAGATCCTGCTCCACATGTGGCACCCGTCGTGTTGCTTATGTTATTACAAATCCGGTAAATAGTCTAATTCGGTAGGTCACATTCGTGAAAAGGGAAAGGGTATTGTAGTTACGACATAAGGAACATATCCGATATCATCTGTGAAATGGTTATTCCATAACGGTCAACAAACTCGTGATGGCGTCAGTAAAATATACGAAGGGATGATTTCAACTTCACAATTTGGAACTCTTGGTTTAATAGCTTCCTTGTGAGTAGCAATCCTCTATCAAGGAAATCATGATAGGAAAAACAAACCCGGGAATATCGTATAAATTGGGAGATATATACTCCGTATGCAGGCGCTGCTGCATAAAGAAGGTGTTGATCATATCACTCTGATCGTCATTTTACCTTGACCTCTGACCTTAATGCAACAATAATTGGTATTTTATCACATCTTCTATCCTTTACCTCACTTTTAAATCCTTTGACATTATTTTTTGATCAATTGCCAAATGAGAGCGGCACATACTTTTGAAGATAACCTCTGAATTTTATCTTTGTAAATGTCAAGTTATAATTGATATATATAATCACACTAAAACCATATAAATTCGTATTAGCCATGGCTAGACCGTTGTAGTGAAACACAACTTTAATCTTCTAACACAGGTATATATCGTGAACTATTTTTAAAAAACATGAATCCACCCATACACATTATCTATTCTTTATCATTATGGTAAGACATTTTAATACACCAAAGAACTGAAAGGCCCCGTTGACTAGCTTGCAGGTGGCTTATTTTGATCACAATGTTTTTTCGTCACCACATCGATGTCTTGCGATATGTCAAGATTGTCTCTGCAGCTTTTTTAAACTTTTTTCACAGAGTTAATACCAATAAATTGAAAGGACCTATTTTCGGTAAAATTTTGACAATAATTGTGATAAACCATTGGTTTTTGTTGAATAAGAATCTTTCAGAAGCATCTTCTTGCACTTTTATCATTTAAAAAGTTGAGTTATGGGTGTCATATGCTAGTTAAAATTAAAAAATAAATAAAGAAGGGGTTGAATTTTTAAGAAATATAAGATATTAGTTGGAATATTTTTTTTCAAGTTTTACAATGATAAAAAATATGTGTGTGTTTAGTTGCAGGTACAAGTACCGAGAAACTTAATTTCTGTTACAAATCAAAGTGTGTTTTTTAAATACCTTTTGGCGGTTGGATTTAAAGAAATACTGCCGTAAATATAAATACTATATGTTATCCAAGAAAGTTTCCAGGCCCCCAAACTTGTTTTGCTTTTGTTTTTAAATAATGACCGGGATAACAATAAATGTTGTCAAAAAAATAGAATGGTATGAACTACCTTTTTGTTAAAAAAACGTAAAACGTCCGCAGTTATTTTACCTGTGTATAGATTATCTTACAAAATCGAGACAAAACTACAAGACGATTGTCTACCTTGATACTGTTGGTAGACTTTAGAAAAACTAGAGTTCCTCGATCGTCATTGTGAATGCGACAAAAATTTCTACAGTTGATCCTGTTTTATTTTGATGTTTTTCCCACTTATGTACTTCTATCTTCAAACACAAAGTGTATTTTCTTTATTGATACATGCTAAAGTGATAACTATATTACAAAATAGGATTAATTCCTAATCTGTTGTAATTTGCCAACAGTACTGTTTCACTCATTTCTGGGTAAACATGACAAAAGTATGTCAATTATAGAACAATTGTCAATCGGATACATAATAATTTTGAATTATAAGGTGGAGAGAAATAACAATATAAAACCAAAGCTTCAAATCCGTCAGAATAGCTATTTAGTGTTAATTTTCATGATTTGTCGTAACCCAGATTTCAACTTGATTCCTATTTCACTTTTACGACCGGACAAACTGAAATCTGCAAATTTATTCTTTTTAAATGATACATACAAAAGTCGATTGTACGGTAGGTATATTAGAAATATATTTGGTTCAGAATGTCACAAGCTGCATATTCTTACAAGCAATTTAAATGGATTGTCTCTTTCTAAAACGATAATTTTGAATTTAATTTTTACTTACTGCCAATAACAAGCAGTATAACATTTGCACCCCTTCCTGTTCCTACACTGTTGGTAGCATAGCAAACATATGTTCCCTGATTTGATAACTGTACATTTGATATTGTTAGGGATGGTGAGTTCACAGATGAGCCACTGAATCTTCCTCCAATGTTTACATTGGTTGATAAACCACCAGATATATATTGCCAGTAAACGGTGGTGTGTTGTGGATTAGCTGTCACGGAACATGTCATGGTAACAGAATCACCAATAGTTACTGTATATGCTGATGTAGGCGTTGTAACAACAGGTATATCTGATAAGAAGATAAATAATGCAAATTCTAGTATGATTGATTCTGATAATCAATTGATCTATAGTTGAGGATGCTGTCTCTGTCGGCACAGACATGTCCTGCCTTTCATTATTCAAGTGATTCCCTCAATTGCACGTAAAGAAAACCCAAATCGATGTAGAATGCTGTTTGTGGTTAAGTGTTGGTAAACTCACTGTTTACACACAACTTTTTTGTACGACGTCACCAGTGAACCATTACTTACAAGGTTACATTTTATTATGTATTTCCATGTTTTAGAGGAAATGCTGTCAAGTGACTGTCTCACTAAATGAATCCAGATTTCGTTCATTCAAATATGGTAAATTGTTTCAAGGTTGAAACAGAAACGATGCTTAATGATTAAAATGGGTTTGTTACCAAGATACATAAATATCTTAATATAAGGTTTTGCTTGTCTTATTTCGTTGTTTTTAATAAATGGCGTTCCAAGCATTTAATCATCATAGAAATGTGCAAAGTGCGGATTAAAATTTGTGGTTTAACATGTTTGTAATTCAAAAAATAATATTAAGAATTTAACAATACGTGATGCTAGTTTATATATGAAACATACTTACTGCCTAAAACATCAAGAAATGTAGAAGAGCTGATTCCAGTCCCTACGCTGTTGGTTACTTTACAAACATAATTGGCCTCGTCGGATTCTTCCGCGGTATTTATTATCAAAGATGGTGACTCTGTGGTGGAACCATCATATTTACTGATAGCTGTAGATATTATTGTGACCTGGTTGGCTAAAGTCTTTTCCCATATAACACTGACAGCTGCTGGATTAGCTATATAGATACATTGTAATGTAACAGCTGATCCTCTGTTGACTGTGTATCTAGGTTGTGGAACAGTGACATTTGGAACACCTTAGAGAAATCAATGTAGGAATTAGTGATTTGCAAATCTATATTTTTTTATTTTGCCTATTCAATATCTGATAATCATAAAACGTCACAACCAAAATTGAAAAAAAAAATATATGTTTTACTTACTTCCAATAACATCCAAGAATATTGGTCGACTCTCAAAAGATCCAACATCATTAGTAGCTGTACATATATAGAACCCCTCGTCTGACATAACAGTATTACTTATGACCAATGACGGTGAACCCACTGAACTTCCGCCGTAACGACCGTTAGACATGTCAATATGCATTGCTATATTATTGATGTAACGCTTCCATGTGACACTTATCGCTGTTGGATTGGCATTCACACTACAATTTAATGTGATGGAATAACCGACATTGACAGAATAATTGGTGGATTGTACGGTTACTACAGGAACGCCTAAAAAAAATAGATAGACGCACATTAGTTGTATCTGAATCGACAGGACAAACGTAAATAATATCACGATCGAATTGCTTCATTTGCATGTAGTGTTTCATTGATATATTTTTGTAGTCGTACCAAAATAAAATCACTGCAGGCTGACATCCAGTTAAAGTTAAAAAAAGATTGCCGTTCAAAGTATGGTCAAAAACACCGTTTACAAAAACAACTCCTTGACGCCATTCCTGCAATGTCTCCTATTATCATAATTGAATAATATTAATGGAAGATCGTTTTGATGAAGGTGAATCCTGATTTTTTTTATAAAATGAACGTATATCATTATAATAGAATTTTAATTGATGTCTATAAATACCAAAATCTCCTAGTTTAGTATAAAAGATAAAAGAGGGACGGAAAATAGTAGAGTGACATTCAAACTCAGAAATAGAAAATAAACTGACAACGCCGTTGCTAAAAACGAAAAAGACAAACAGACAAACAATAGTACACAAAACACAACATAGACAACTTAAGACTTAAGTACACGAACCCAAAAGAAACTGGGGATGTTCTTAGGTGTTCCGGAAGGGTGTGCTTTTGTTAGTATAAATCCAGTAACAAGTCAAATTCGGTAGTTTACATTCTTGTAAAGGGAATAGGGTCGTAGTTATGACATAAGGCATATTTGTGAATAAACTCATCATAGATAATAGGATTGAAATGTTATATATACGCCAGACTCGCGTTTCGTCTACAAAAGACTCATCAGTGACGTTCGAATCAAAATATTTTAAAAAGGCCAAATAAAGTACGAAGTTGAAGAGCATTGAGACCCAAAAATTCCTAAAAGTTTTGCCAAATACAGCTAAGGTAATATATTCCCGAGGTAGAAAAGCCTTAGTATTTCAAAAATTAAAAGTTTTGTTAACAGTTAATTTATAATTAATATAAGTCAACACATAAGTGCTGACTACTGGGCTTGTGATACCCTCAGGGAATTAAAACTCCACCAGCATTGAAACGGATAAATATATGCCAGTCAACCAACTCGTGATGTCGTCCGTAAAATATAGATTATTAAAATGTCTTATTGATACAAAATACTAAAGACGTGTTAAACCAATCTTTGTTATATTTGTTTAATAATTACATTATATTTCTCTCCCCTTTATGGATAAGCTTAACTTACTTCCTAATATTCCCAGGTATGTCTGTGAACTGGTACCTGTTCCGACACTATTCTGTGCACTACATGTGTAATATCCTTGGTCAGCAGTGACAACGTTGATAATAGTCAAAGATGGTGATGTGATAACAGATCCTGAGTATTTACTCGTCTGAGAGAGATTGATATTTGCTGCTACTCCATTTAGAACTTTTTGCCAAGAAACTAAGGTATAAACAGGATTGGCTGATACGGTACAGCCCATGGTAACGGAAGAACCTACAGTAGCATAATACTGTGATTGGGCAATGGTTACCACTGGTAATGCTTAAAAGATAACCAGGTAAAAAATGAATTATTAGTTGACTTTAAGTCAGGAGCCTGTTATTCAGTGGTTGTCGTTTGTTGATATGTTATATAATTGTTTTTCGTTCATTTTTTGTACATAAATTAGTCCGTTAGTTTTCTCGTTTGCATTGTTTAACATTTGCCATTTCGGGGCCTTTTCATGCTGACTATGCAGTATTAGCTTTGCTCATTGTTGAAGGATGTGCGATGATCAATAGTTGTTAATTCTGCGTCTTTTGGTCTCTTGTGGAGAGTTGTCGCATTGACAATCATGCAACATCTTTTTTTTATAATCGGAAATGATACACCTTATCTATTTCAAAAATGTATTCTACAAACCTGGTTGTCCATCTATGCTAACTATAATGTAAGACAAAATCGTTAGACATATAGGTTAGACTTAATCCTTTGTTTTGTCTCAACCGGACGTTCTGTTCCAAACATCCGATGTCATTATATTGTTCCTTGCTAAATACTCAAGGGATAGTCAATCCTCCTGAATCAGCTGATAATGTTTGGCTGGTCTTATTAAGGTCCGCTTTTAAGTAAGAAATTAATGAACATTTTGCAGCAAATGTGCAAAATGCAGGTACGTATACGGATACATAAGAAGGACAGTAGAACGGACAGTTACTGTCAGTTGAATGGATAGTCTAACGGATAGTCTACCGTACTCAAAAATCCTTTTACACTTTATACCGCCCAATTAAAATATTAGAGTATGCATTGCCGGTACCACATTATCATCATCATCAACATCATCATTAGGTATATAACCATCTAACCAGTAACTTGATGTTTCATGGGAAATATATCTTCGAATGACTCTTAGAGACCTATTTGTTTTTCAATGTACATGTGTAAGTCATAACAAATTAGTATTATTGTAATATTATTTTCAAAATAGCAATTCAAACTTCATCATTTGTAGGTTGCACTTTGTAAATACAGCTGTTTCTCAAAACACGCCCCTTATGGGGATTCTTAACGTACTGGTTCCCATTGATGATCTCTGTGTTTCATCTCATAGAGACATCACTGCGGAATGTAACCAGTATAGAAAAACATGGTAGCGTCTAAATTTTAATTCTTAGGAGGTCCAAAAATGGAGGTAAGGGTAGTATAGAATTTAAGTATAAGTTTAAACTCTTAAAATTTCAGGGCATATAAATGTTGAAAATATGCCGCACAGCCCTATATTTTGAACTATGAATAAAATAGTAGTGTATATAAACTTTCCGTTCTGGGATATTTTTTTTCACGAAACTTCATAGTAAAAGTGTCACATTTTAGCCGCAAAAGGAAGTTCCTTTGGGAAATGCATTGTCTGTATTTACAGAATTGCAACCTAAACAGTGGGATAGATGGGAAAATATTCATATACTTACTGCCTTGAACATTAAGGAAGGTCTGGGTACTAGTTCCTGTTCCGACGGCATTTGTTGCTTGACAAGTATAGTATCCTTCATCTCCCGTATCACAGTTATAAATTGTCAAAGATGGTGTAGTTATAGTAGCACCAGAATATTTAGTTGGATTTGTTGGAACGTTTATAGCAAAAGGTACATTGTTTATAATTCTATTCCATTGAACGCTGGAGGCTGATGGGGTGGAAAATATAATACACGTCAAATTAATAGAATTTCCAATCTCAATTTTATATCGTTGTCCAACATTTACTGAGGGTACATCTACAAAAGATTTACCATACTATTACGTGCAGCCTTCAATGTGGATATCAATAAAAGCGCTGTTCCTTTGCTTTTTATGTTTTTGCTGTGCTTAAACTGATTTTGAGCCATCGATGGATACCGATGTGTAATTGTCTATGGGTAATGTCAAATAAAAGCTATACAGTTCTTATTTTCAGATGAGACGTATTACTAAAAGAGTTATTACAAGGGCCTTTTTTTGCCACTTGAATTCAAAATGAAAATGATTCAGTTATCTAGTGAAGACATTACTTTGTCGGACCTTAGCCTTTATATTTTATGGTTGTGTTTTTTTTGTTTTTTTTTTGGTTGATTATGTAGTATTTTGTAAACTTTTATTTCTTTCGATTCTTTTTTAACATTTTTATCAATTTTTGATCGATATTTTTAGAATTTAAGTTGTTAATTTATAAAACATCTTCAAAAGTTTAAGACAAACTTACTGCCAACTACAGAAAGCTGAGTTTGTTGACTCTGTCCAGTTCCGACAGAGTTTGAAGCGTAACATGTGTACGATCCTACGTCATCACTGTCAGCATTCAGAATTGTCAGAGACGGGGTTCCTATTGTGGATCCAGAATATTTGTTTGCGTTAGTGGTAGAATTGATATAACTCTGAACGCCATTTGTGATCTTTTGCCAGTACACATTTTGTACTGCAGGAGTTCCGGTAACTGTACATATCAATTGTACTGACTGGCCATAATTCACGCTATATGATACCTGTGGTACAGTGACTGTTAATATACCTAAAACGCGATAAAGCACAATTTAGATAAACATAGATTATACCACTGCATCGAAATATGGTATGGAATCTCTTTTTTCTATTGATCTGTCATAACATTATGTAGACGTTAATCCCCCTATTTCAATGATCTCAAACATTATATGTTCTTGCTATCTTGCTTTGTGACGTAATAAGACATGATCTCTAATTCTTAACCAACTGGGTTTTTTTTTTTTTTTTTTTTTTTTTATTTGTTGATTATATCGTTTTAATCAATGATCGAAGTCCTTTTTTTTCGAAATTCAAATATTTCTTGTGTCATCAGTTGAATAAGTGTCTGCAAGAACTGTTGTGTCCCCCTGCTTTTATATTATATAGTTAAAAAAAACTAGATTGATACCTTCCACGTATATTTTAGTACACAGACAATCGTAATACAAAATACATTCCTATTGATTAAATAAATTTTATAACTAGTTAAAACATAGTTAATTTCTTTTCTTTAATTGATATTTAATAGTAAGTCTTCTATATTGTGATGTTATACTACTATTTAATGTTAGGGTAAAGATTATCGATAGTTCAAACGTTTGAACCTGCTGCTTTTGTTTGCACCTGTCTTCATTCAGGAACCTGTTAACCAGAGGTTGTTATTTGTTGATGTTGTTCATTAGGGTTTCTCGTTTCTCGTTCACCTATAATGATTTACTTTTTACAAATTGTAACTTGGATGGAGAGTTGTATCATTGGCATTATACCACATCTTCTTGTATCTATTTGATTTGAATAAATGAACGCTGTGACCTGTACAAAGACATCGTGTTTTTTTTTCTTTTTTATACATTTATAATTTTATACTTTAGTAAGTCGGTGAAGAATTATTTTGACGTAGGACTGTTTTTTACTTACAGGAATTTGTAAACTTTCTTTAAATACTTCACAAAGTATGTAGGGCCTATAACGTCGTATTTATTGTGAATGACTATATCACTGGTCCTTTTTGTTTTATATAATAGAAATAAAATATGTTTAAATGAACTCACACAAGCGAAAAAATACCATGGTTTTGAATATATATAACGGAAGACTTGCCAAATTATTCAAAATAATTTGTCAATATCCGTAATTTTGATCAAAATATTTGCACTATAGAAAATGCATAAAATAAGATAAAAGAAGCCTAAAAAAATTAGACATACCTAGAGGCTCTGTGTCTCTCGCTTAGATATAAGTGAATATTCAACAAAAGACACTCTTCAACTTTGTAGTTGAGAACAGAATTCATGACAAAAATCTGTGTTTTGTTGATCTTGTAATGCTGATCATTTAGTCTATTAAGATTCTCTCTATCGTCTTTAGTTTTAGCTCAAAAACAAAAAAGGTAAAAAAAAAATCATTATTCAAGGGACTTGGCAATCGCTCCTATAAAAAGAGTGGCAGCCTACTGCCTTGTGATTTGCTAGTAGATCTTGTTTTACTGATCATTTTGTGATTTAAAGTGTATATGTATCCATTATAAGTTTTATCATGTTAGGCAAAACCCCCAAAAAGATATCAAAGGACAAAAACTCTAATAAGGAGTCGGCTGACGAATTCGACAATTGATCTTATTTTTAAAAATTGTCTATCTGATCATTTTTGCAATTTAATGTTTCTCCTTGCCTTTTATTATTTTCAAGATAATGCGCAAAATGAAAAAAAAAAGAAATGACAAAATTTGTCATTTAAACGCAATAACTCCTATTATAAGTCGTCTGTCAATTTTGACGTATATGAACAAAAGGTAAGGCTAATAATTCTGATATTTTTGCTATTCTCAGATTTTCTCTATTCAAAACGGTTTTCAAAATAATAGATTTATTTTTTACATTATGTTTTATTTTTTGCCATGACAGCCATGTTGATTGGAAGGACACACTTTTTAAAAACAAGATAAAAAAATGATTGTGGCCAAGTTTGGTTAAATAAGTCCAGTAGTTTCAGTGGAGAAGATTTTTGTAACATTTAACAGACGACGACGGACGACGAACGACGCCGGAAGACGGACGACGACGACAACAACGGCAGACGACAGACACCAAGTGATGAGTTGAGCTCACTTTGCCCCATATGCTACATGTAGGTGAGCTAAACACTTACCTCCTATAACGTCTAAATACGTCTGTGAACTTTGACCTTCTCCAACTACATTTACTGCGGTACAAATGTAAAATCCTTTATCGGAGTCAACAGCGTCAGAAATGGTTAACGAAGGTGTAACAGTACTTCCCCCTGTATATCTACTGTTTGATCCAATATTAGTTTGCTGTCCATTAACTGTCTTATTCCATGTCACGTTTGTATGAGCTGGATTAGCTGTCACAGTGCACTGGAGCGTGACAGACATAGCAATTTCCACTGAATAATAGTTGGATAATATCTGTACGGAAGGAGCATCTGCAAACATTAAGATGATTTATAAAAAAGTTGTCTTATGTTCATTTTCGTTTTTTGCCATGGCGTTGTAAGTTTGTTTTCGATTTTTGAGTTTGAGTGTCCTGACGGTATATTTCACCTGTTTTGAAATCAACAGAGAAAGCTGATGTGAAAAGTAAGATTTTATTATAAAATAATTACACTGACCTTTTCGTCCTTCAAAACAAATTGCACGTGTTTACACTTATCAGCTAGTTTGACATTCCTACGGGAATAAACTGTGTGCCTCTACTTGACTGAGAGTTCATTCAGACACTTTTCAAAAAACGAGAAGATCAAAGAAACCATATCATTTACTTTCACATTCAGATATTTTGATGATGTTCTTACCATCAACAATTTAATTTTTTTGATTGTGTTCAATTTATATATATCTTTCAGAACTAGGTGATGAAGAAACAACAGACGCGGCTTCCTCCGCAACGTTTTTTAGCATGCTTCGAATTTGATATAAGCGTTCATTTAAGAACCAGCATCTATGATAAACGAGACGATTTTAATTTTGAAATTATCAATTTCTCCGACCTAAGTAGCAATATACAATCTTCTACTGCATATGGGATACACATCTTTCGTTTTTGCTTATGTGATTTGCTTATGTGTCTTTTTTTTTTTCTTTTTTTTTTTTGAAATATTTGTTTGTTTTATAGTGATTTGGATATTATCACAATGTTGACTGATGTTCCCCTATTTTTGACATTTCTACTTACTTTTAGTATTATAAAAGTAATAGTAGTATACCACTGTTCAATAATCACAAATCGTGAGAAACACATCAATCACAAGATGAAAAATAGAAAATAGAAAAATACAAGTATGTGTCCATAGTACACGGATGTCTCACTCGCATTATCATTTTCTATGTTCAGTGAACCGTAAAATTTGAGATTAAAACTCTAATTTGGTATAACAAGTAGAAAGATCATGAAGGAGTAAACATGTTGCAATTTTTACGTTGACTGATCTTCCACTTCATCAAAAACTACCTTGACCAAAAACTGTAACCTGAAGCAGAAGAACAAACTATCGAACGAACAAATGGAAAATGAACGAACGAACAAACGAACAAACGCACAAACGCACAGACATAGATGTGGCAAAAAAAACGGAGCAACAGAAACACTGAGCTGCCAGAAAAAAAATGCAAGCATATATTAACACGGACCATGTGAAAACAACTGCAACATTCATGACTTGTTACAAGACATTTTAAGAACACATGCTGGGTTGATCCTCACGCTTATAAGACAATGTTAAGCGCTAATATAATAACATTTAATGATAGGAATACAATACAAATAAATGCAAGAATATACTCAGGGCAGAGAAATACATAAATAAATAATATAAAATAATAAAAGTACATTCCAACATGTAAACTGCAGAGTAGAAACGAACATCTAAAATCAATTTACTTCAGAACACAAATACAGCACAATAGAATAATGATGTCAGTTATTATGGGTGGGAGAAGCCGAAGTGCCTGGAGAAAACCACCGACCTTCGATAAGTAAACTGACCATCTTAGTCAATTAAGATTAGAGTCGAATGCATCCACACGAGCGGAGTTCGAACTCACGACCTCAGTATTGACTGGCTAGTGATTACAGTAGACCACTTGGCCAGCGAGGCCCTTCAATAAAATAATTATCTGTACTTTACACGAATATTTCAACGCCACAATAAGTGACGTCACAAGGAAATTTATAGAAATAGAATATAAAATTGGTATTAAGTTTGTTATTGTGTTTTTTTTAGTATTTACTCACTATTACAAGCATATCAATATAGAATTGTGTTACATGTTGAAATGCAATTTTATATTATGGATCTTTATACTATATAAATACATACCTCCCTGTACATCAAGGTAGGTCTGAGAACTTTGTCCAGTTCCTAAACTATTAGTAGCAAAACATATGTAGAATGCCTCGTCCGTATTGTCAACATCAGTGATAACCAAATTAGGGGAAGACACGCTACCACCCTGGTATCGCCCTGATATAAGTACTGTTGATGGTATAGTATTTTGTATTTTCTGCCACGATATACTGGTTTCTGTTGGTGTAGCAACAACATTGCATTCAATGGTTGCTGTTTGTTCGTAGTTTACTCGGTAGTAGTCCGACCCTATAATTACTGTAGGGATACCTATGGAATAGTTGGTTTATCGTTTATTTTACAGAATTAATACTAATAGGACAAATTGATTTAATTGTATCAGTTATTCAATCTTACGGCCCATCGTATCTTGGGTACGGAAAATTTAATTGTACCGACACTAGTTTGTTTTATATGTATAGACTAGAGTCACTAATGCAAGAATCATTTTATATCTTATTGTTTTGGTAATCTAAAAGCTCAAAATGTGTATATGAAGTGATTTATATAATATCAGTTAAAAAAAACGACAATTATTATCATGATAACAAAGTTTATTGCAATGTAATTTTTTTTTATTTTTTGTTATTAACAATCATTGTTTTACTTACTTCCAAGGACATCTAAATAACATTGCGGACTTTGACCGTTTCCAACACTATTTGTTGCAAAACATACATAGTAGCTTTCATCGCCAAGAGTTACATTTGATATTGTAAGGGTTGGACTGTTTACTGTAGCACCGGAAAATCTCCCAGATATTGTAACCGTTGTTGTGCCTCCATTTTTTATTTTCTGCCACGTGACTACAGTATGAGGAGGGTTGGCTTGTACAGTACACACAAGATTGATGCTACCTCCGATGTCGACAGAATACACACTTTCTTGAGTTGTCACTATGGGTATATCTGGTAAAAGTTAAAAAAAAAAGTTATCAAATATCCATTGTGAAGGAAGAAATAACAATCAATTAGAAAGACCAAAATTGAGTAATTGTTGCTCCAAAATTCCGATTCTTTTTTTTCAAATAAAGCTAAAAAATAAAGTAACAAAAATATTGCAAACTGTGAGAGAAATTCATAAATTTGTAAAATTGAAAAATCAAAAGCTCAAATACATCTAACAAATAGAAACAGCTGTCATATTCCTGACTCGGCACAGATATTTATACTAATATTATTCAAATTATTATTTATTACGATTGAAAAATATTGAATAAGTACGCAGTATTTTGAGCTAATTGTACATGATAACTGTTTTTAAAATATTATTTATCGAAACTTAATATGTTTCGTTCCGTACAAAACTTACTTCCAATGACATTGAGATAAGTATGTTGGCTGTGACCAGTTCCAATTATATTTGTAGCATAACATATATAGTTCCCTTCATCCAACGACTGAGCGTTAGTGATGACCAGTGACGGATTAAGGACTGTAGAACCACTGTATCGTGAGTTGGAGGAGGTTGTATTAATACTTTGTTGTAGATTGTTAACAATACGTTGCCAGTATACATTGGTGGCAGCAGGGGTAGCCACTACAGTACAACCAAGAGTTACAGTCGCACCAATGTTAGTGTTATAATTTGGTAAAATTACAGTAACAATTGGCAAATCTGTAAAACAAATTTCATTCACTCAAATGATTTCGCAGAAAATGGAAATATAGTTCTGTGAATTAAACTTTTTAATGCTTTATAACCTTTATAAATTATTTAAGAAGAAATAATTAATGCAACATATACTTTATTGTAGTTTTAACATGGGTAGTCATTATAATCGTGATAGTTTTCACCCGAGCGATAGTCAGGGCTAAAATATGACGAATATAATGCCTACTCATGTTAAAACTACAATAAAGTATAGCTTGCATCAATTATTTTGATTCTGGTTAGGACAATTAAGGTTATTTCTATGTCCGATGTGTATAAGTGTAGAGCGTTTGTGTAGTATCTTCAATGGACTTCCCTTTTCTTGTTTGTTTACAAGCAAACGACTGGCAATGTGTTTTTACAGAGGGATGGATTTTGAACAGCCAGAATGAATGTGTCGTATCTAGATCAAATAGGTCAATTGCAAATTAGACACATTGTAGTCATAATATATATGTTTTAAGTAACAACATTTGCATCTTTTAAGAGTTTGAAAGTGTTTCAAGTTAATTAAATATATTAAGTGCATGCCAATTTGATCAAATTAATTTTTCTGCAGCAGTAAATATACGCATGTACAAAAGTTTTTATTGGATTTAGGGCATAGGTTCATTCACAAAGCGAAAGAAGCACGTCATATCAAAATTCAAATTAAGCAATAGCAAAATATAACAGTTTTGTATGGTTAAAAAACAAACACAGACACTGAATGTGCTTCTTTTTATAACAATTATCTTATATAATCGAAATTATATTAAGAGTGTTTTTTTTCTATGTCTCACAAAAAAGGAAACAGATTCTATTTCACGCTCGCAAATCCATTACCTAATTTTTCTTAATCATTTCAGTACTTTTTGTTCTTAATTCTAACATACACGGATCCCGATAGTTTCAAATTTGCAATGTTTCAAATTTGCTCAGTAGCTGGTAATTTTCATTTTTGCTTGAAAACACTCACTTCCTGTAACAGTCAAATAAGTCTGAGATGAAGTTCCGGTTCCGACAATGTTAGTTGCTGTACAGACATAGTAGCCGTCATCACTCTGAGCAGCGGTGTTGATAATTAGATTAGGACTGCTGACAGTTGGTGTGTTATATTTCATAGCATTGATAGAGAGAGAAGTTAGAACTCCATTTATAACTTTATACCACCGTACACTCGTGGCATTTGGGTCAGCGGATATTGTGCAGACAAGAGTAACTGTCTGTCCAAGTAGTACGCTGTAACTATTGGACTGAATAGAAATATCTGGTACAGCTAAAAAAAAACATAAAGAAGAGAGGCATCTTCATAATGATAATTTATTTATATGAAAACACATTCACATATTTATAGTTGTCTTTAATTATATATATATATATGGATTTCAGTATTTGAGTGATTTTACTTATACTATTATCACAGGGAAAATTTCGAAAAATAAAATAGCTATTTGTTCTATTGTATACATGTAACACTCAGAAAAGTGTTCATCCCCAAAACGTGTCCGACTCCCTCAAACGTGTCCATATGACGTCGCTGAACTGCAAAACATATATAGTTGCTAAAGGGCGCCAAAATGAGTTTTGTTTATAAGCGCCAAATTGTGTCCATTTAATACAAAAAAAATCCAAACGTGTCCGGTTTATATGAATCCGTAAAGTCTCCTTTTAAACTTCAAAAAAACGTTGGTACGAAACAAGTTGTGCGATACCTACATACATTATATACACATTTAGATCATGACTATTGGAAAATATTAGAAAACAATGATTTAAACTTTACAAAACTAATAAATTGCAATGTTTATGGTTTTCGTTTATTAATACAAATGACATACTTGCCACTGGACATAAAGCAATACATATTTAATAGTTAATTATGTGTTGCAAATTTAGCTTGCAATTATGCTTAATGACAAATAAACGGCGTTGAACAAAGTAATGCTAATAAATTATCACTTTATTAAGATCTATTAACAGTTAAGCCTCGTGAAAATGTACAAGATAACATGTGTTACATTTTAATTTAGAAATGTCTCTGCCAGAACTATACATAAAAAATATTAAAACCGCTGCAAGTTAAAATATGTTTTGTGGAATCTTTTTTAACATGCTGTCTTTTTATATGAAAGGAGAAGTGACTGGAACACTGTAACTTGTCTTGAACATTTATCTTTACGGATTACTAAACAAAACCAAAAGAAACCTTTGCATATAGTAGTTTTAAACATAAAATCATACCAATGAAATAGCTGAGTTATTCAGGAACACCTGATATGACCCCGATTTTTGGTGGGGGTCGTGTTTGATTAGTCTTAAGTTTTCTATGTTGTGTCTTGTGTACTATTATTTTTCGGTATGTATTTTTCATTTTTTAGCCATGGTGTTATCAGTTTATTTTCGATCTATGAGTTTGAATGTCCCTTTGTTATCTTTCGCTTCTACCAGGCCATAGACGAACCGCGAGTAACTTGATTAAGCTTACAGTTAAACATATGTGAAATGTACCAAAATACAGAAAAAGTACCCATGGAATACATTTTACATATTGTAAAAAGATAGCCATCCAACAAAAGAAGTAGTTTCGTCAGAAATGTCTTTTTACAGAAGATTTTATATGCTTTCCCTCAAATACAAATATCACAGTTTTAGTTTTCTGATCTTTTAACTTAACGTAGTTTAAAATCATAGTCTCATTTTTACTTTAAAATGTTTTTGTATTTCCTCTTATTATAATGAGTCGAGTAAAAAATTAAATGCATAAGTATACTATGAAATGCATTATCATAAACTGTATGATAACTGATAAAATTACGTTATACATACTTCCCATTACATCTACAAAGATCTGTTGAGGACTCTGTCCAGTTCCCACTGTATTATTTGCATAACAAATGTAATAAGTTTCATCATTTTGATCAACGTTATTGATAGTAAGAGATGGATTACTGACAGTAGAACCGCTATATTTAGCTGAGTTTGTCATAGAAATGGTCACTGGCAGTCCGTTCTGGATTCTAGTCCAGTAAACCTGTGTATGGGTGGGTGCGGCACTTACACTACATACTAGCTGCACCAACTTTCCGTATTCAACAAGGTAATAAGTTCGTTCAACAGTCACTGTTGGTATATCTGTATCAAAGAAAATAAAATGAAAGTACACATTATACGAAATCAAAACCGTAAGGTACCTTAAAGTGGTTAACGTCTACTTCATTTGATCTCCGGGGGAGAGTTATCTCATTTGAAAAAAAAAAACATATCAAATCTTCTTTTTTATATGGAACAAACCTTCCATAGATATATCAGACAATAGTTCGACAAATAAAATGTAATGTAGAGAATCTACTTAATATAGCGTTAAATCATTAGAACTTCTTAAAAAACCTGATTACAGTTTCTCAATTGTGAACTTCCCATTTCTATGTAGCAACATTACAGCATCATTGATATTGTAATAAATATAAATTAACTGTTTACCAAAATTTGATTTTTTAAAGTACGAAGGCTTTACTTCCTAAGGAATAAATTACATTAGTTGTATTTGGCAAAACTTTTAGGAATTATTGGTCCTCAGCGTTCTTCAACTTTGTACTTTATTTGGTCTTTTTAACTTTTTTTTATTCAAACGGTCTCTGATGATTCTTTGGAAGACGACAATTCAATTCTGTTATCTATCATGAGTTTTTTAATTGGTATTTGGTAAAGTTATATACGAATAAGAGTACGTGAAGACAGGAATTTAGATGCATTACATTTCTGAAGATTTTGAAGGATAAAGGGTTTTCTTTTAAATGGTCTATGTAAATGTGGTTTAAATTAATACTTAGCCGTGTAAGTTCATATAAGCAAATTCAAGTTTTAGAAATCTTTTAAGTATCATACGTATTTTTAAGAAAGACATCCATCTTTCCCCCTTATATTAGAATAGTCTGTACTTACTTCCCACAACATTAAGTGTGGTCGGATTACTGTGTCCAGTACCAACATTATTTGTTGCATGACATCTATAAACACCAGAGTCACTCTGATTCGTACTGAGAATGATCAGTGAAGGGGAGTTTATAGAAGATCCCTGATATTTCTGTGTATTCGTCATAGAGATGGTCTTTTCTGCGTTGCTGCCGACTGTTACGGTCCAGTAGATTTTGGTCTCTGTGGGAATGGCTTTTACAGTACAAGGAATTGTAATTTGACTACTAACGTTTAAACTGTAAGCACTATGGTTTATGCTTACTGTAGGTATGTCTACAAAAAAAGAAATTGTGTACATATCATTCAGTGTTTACACTAGTATAACTTAATGGTCAGATGACCTTATGACTTGTCCCTTGTTATATAATATATAATATATAATATAACATTGCATAACAGTGACAAGAGCACAATAGTTAAAAAAATGAGAATTTAGTTTTTTAAATAAAAAAAACCATGTTTGATTTAGTCTTGTAAAACAGAATATTACACACTATCTTTGAGGGAGGGTTTACTGAACAGTTTATGTGTTTACACAATCAAGCTTGACAGTAAGTGCAACAAAAAAGCGGCAGTGTTTTAAGTTACTTTTCCTAAACAAAATAAAATACTTTCATCGTATTGAACTACTACCTATTCATAAGTGATGTGTTCTTTCGTCTATATATACATTTAAAATATTTATTAATTCATCAACTAGGTCTACCATATGTAACGTTGCATTTTGCTTTTTCCTTTGCCATCTATATATAGCCATTTATTTTTATAAATTTCTGTGTATTTTAAAAAGAAGTATACATTTTGTGAATTTATATAAGATTTTTTTTTTCTCTAAAATCTATAGTTGTAACATCACGTACTGCCTATAACATCCAAAAATGTCTGACTGCTTTTCCCTGTTCCTACTGCGTTAGTAGCAAAACAGACGTAATCCCCTTGATCTGCATTTGTAGTACTAATGAAAGTCAGAGATGGAGATTGTACTGTAGATCCACTGTACTTGGAAAAGTTATTTGTACTCATATCAATTGTTTGATTTAGCATTTGCCAAAAAACTTTAGTGACCGATGGATTGGCATTTACTTTACAAACAAGTACAACAGTGTTTCCAAAAATCACTGAATAGGTGTTAGACAATATCTGTACTGATGGGATATCTGAAAAACAGTAAGGTGTATTCGTCGTTTATTGCATATAAACATTTCAACATCGAACTTGATATAAAGGATATCACAGATGCAGTTAAGTCTGTCTCATATTTTAACTTTCATCTAGAGAACTATACGTTTATGATCGATTGAAAACATAACTTAACGAAGAAAAATGATTTGAAATTGTTTATCAACTGCGAATATTCTATCTGTAAAATGCCATTCACGTGTGCATATGGAGTTTATATTATTCCAATATGCTTATGTTTCCATTCATGATTTCCTTGAAAGTCGGTTAAAAAAGGTGGTAAACCAAGGGTCCAAAGTGGTTGAAATTATTCTTCCGACGGTTATGTGGACGCGTTCATTGTTAGTTGACCATAACGGAAAAAATGTGTGTAACAAATGAACAATAAAATGTTCCACTTGTCGACTTGGTGGTGACAATCATGTACTTTATATTCTTCAATTTAAAGTGGCCTTCCTTTATATAACGGATGCCACGAGTTTTCTTTTAAAAAAAGAAGATGTGGTATGATTGACAATGAGACAATTCTCCACAAGAGACTAAAATGACACAGAAATTAACAACTATAGGTCAACGTACGGCCTTCAACAATGAGCAAAGCCCATACCGCATAGTCAGCTATAAAAGGCCCCGAAACGACAATGTAAAACAATTTAAACGAGAAAAATAAAGGCCCTATTTATGTACAAAAAATGAACGAAAAACAAATATGTAACACATAAACAAACGACAACCACTGACTTACAGGCTCCTGACTTGAGACAGGTACAAACATACATAATATGGCGGGGATAAACATGTAAGCGGGATCCAAACCCTCCTCCTAACCGGAGACAGTGGTATAACAGTACAACATAAGAACGAGCTATAAAAATCAGTTGAAAAAGGCTTAACTCATCAGATGGACAAAAATACAAGTGGACGTGGCCGGGTACTTGTACATCCAAACAACAAAAAGACACTAAGTACAGATACAATGTATGAGAGTACTCGCAGTTAACTGACAGCTAGTTCAAAGCCACTAACAACTAATAAAAAAATCATGCATCTAAAACTTAATTATCAATCCGTACACATCCAACATCCAATGGATTTAGTGTAAAGACGTCATAAACAGTCAGAGACAAACATGACCTTGTGCAATAAACCTTACATAGAATCTAAAGTCATGACAGATCATTGGTGTGACTTCATTATGCTCATTCCTTAGTTGTTTTGCTTACAATTTTTTGAACTATCACGTCTGTTGGTCATTTTTCCCGCCGTTGTGTTATTGGGCTATGGTAAATAAAATTGAGAATGGAAATGGGGAATGTGTCAAAGAGACAACAACCCGACCAAAGAACAGACAACAGCAGAAGGTCACCAACAGGTCTTCAATGCAGCAAGAAATTCCCGCACCCGGAGGCGTCCTTCAGCTGGCCCCTCAACAAATATATATACTAGTTCAGTGATAATGAACGCCATACTAAACTCCAAATTGTACACAAGAAACTAAAATTAAAAATAATACAAGACTGACAAAGGCTAGAGGCTCCTGACTTGGGACAGGCGCAAAAATGCGGCGGGGTTAAACATGTTTATGAGATCTCAACCCTCCCCCTATACCTCTAGCCAATGTAGAAAAGTAAACGCATAACAATACGCACATTAAAATTCAGTTCAAGAGAAGTCCAAGTCTGATGTCAGAAGATGTAACCAAAGAAAATAAACAAAATGACAATAATACATAAATAACAACAGACTACTAGCAGTTAACTGACATGCCAGCTCCAGACTTCAATTAAACTGATTGAAAGATTATGTCTTCATCATATGAATATCAGGCACAATCCTTCCCGTTAGGGGTTTAGTATCATACCATCATAACATATATGAGAAGAACATAACCCGTGTCATGCCAACAACTGGTTTTTAAATAAATGTGTTTAGTGCCGATGCAAAGACCCTATAAGTGAATCAATATTAACGCCAAAATATGCAATCTTTAATGACCTGACAACAGTATCGTAACTATATCCCTTCTTAATAAGTCTATTTAAAGGTTTTATTAGCTTCAGAGGTGAATACTGACATTTTTGTGCTTTATAAAGAATATTTCCATAAAAAATTGGATGTGAAATACCTGAACGTATAAGAAGTCTGCATGTTGAGCTATATTTACGAATGATGTCCTTATACCGATGATAAAATTTAGTAAATGTTTTGACTAGTTTGTGATATCGAAAACCCTGGTGTAATAATTTTTCAGTAATACATAAATTTCTCTCGTTAAAATCTAAAACATTGTTACATACACGAGCGAATCGTACAAGTTGAGATATATAAACACCGTAAGATGGGGACAAGGGAACGTCACCATCTAAAAATGGATAATTAACGATTGGAAATGAAAAATCATCTCTTTTATCATATATTTTAGTATTAAGCTTTCCGCTAATGATATAGATATCAAGATCGAGGAAAGGGCAGTGGTCATTGTTAGTATTAGCTTTATTTAAAGTAAGTTCAACAGGATAAATTTCTTTAGTATACACACTAAAGTCGTTATTATTGAGAGCCAAAATATCATCCAAATATCTAAAAGTATTATTAAATTTGTGTATCAGATGTTGTTTCGATGGGTCTTTGCTGATTTTTGTCATAAATTGTAACTCATAGCAATACAAAAAAAGGTCCGCAATAAGTGGTGCACAGTTAGTCCCCATTGGAATTCCGATAACCTGAGGATATACGGAATCTCCAAAGCGAACAAAAATGTTATCTAGTAAAAATTCAAGGGCATATATAGTATCAAAGCATGTCCAATTGACATAGTTTTTTTGTTTATTGCTACTAAAAAATGACCTAAAAGAGTTTGAACATATATATTCACATTCTGACTTTTTAAATGCCCATTTAATTAGGTGTGTGAATTTTTTCTTAATGAGAATGTGAGGCAATGTGGTATATAGGGTAGAAAAATCAAAACTTTGAACAGATTCAAAATCACCAATATATGCATGCAATTTATCAAGTACTTCCAACGAGTTCTTGACACTCCAAAAGTAATTAATTCCACTATTTTCGAAGGCCTTATTTGAACAATTTATTATCAGGTTTTTGATTGTACCAAGTGTACTGGTAAGAAGAATAGACAATTTAGTAGTGGAACAATGGCTTGAAGACGAAATGAATCTATATTTGTAAGGTGTTTTGTGTAGCTTCGGAAGCCAATACATAGTTGGGACTTTCATTGTATTTGGTTCTGCTTGTAAAGCGGTAGCTAAAAGTTTATGTTTGTTACATATGTCGTTTTCTGAAAATGGAGTCAGTTGGAATGTTGGTGAATTGGTGATTTCTTTTTCCAGAACCTCAATGTAAAATTTACGTCAAACAATAATAATATTATTAGCAGCTTTATCGGCCGGGACAAAAACAAATTCCTTGGCTAGTTCTGTTAGTTTATGTTTGATACGAGAAATAGGTTTATTGTGGTTATTGTTAAGAGTAAAATGTTCTTTATAATGTTGAATACGTATATCAACTATGTTCATTACTGATTTAAAAAAAGAGTCCAAAGATTTTTTGTCAGCTTTTTCCCGTTTTATCCATTTCAAACAGTAAGTATGGAGTGAGTCGTGGATGATATTACGACACTCATTCCAATTAATAATTGACGGGGGACGATACTTAGGTCCTTTACTGAGGAATGATTTTAACTCTCGGTCTTGAACGATGTTAAGATCTCCTGTTATAACATGGGAAATGGGTCCATAAATGTATTCGGAATTACTGCAATTACATGAAGTAGGTGTATTTTCACTGATATTAACATCTTTACACAATTGGCTATAATTAAACACAAATTTCAGGGTAGATTTCTTGTAAATATAACAAATAAGAGGGAGCTCAGTATTATCAAAATATCCCGGAATTTGTTCTTTAACAGAATGGTCGTTAAAAATACCGGCAATATTTACAAAATCAAAACCTTTATTGACATACTTTATTTTAATAAACTGTTTTTTATGATCTTCAGGGCGATCAATTTTGGGAAACAGTTTAAAATAACAATATGCCATTATAATTTGAACGATTTCATACTT